AGAAGGATAAACACAATATCCCTAAAACATTAAATATGACAAGTATTTTTATGTATGTACATACATAAAAAGCTTGACAAAGTGCTGTCCGTTGAGGAAGAAAGTTGGTGGTCCTCTTTTTTTTATGAATAGGTACTGTGGGAAAAGAGTACAACTGATGTGTGAACATTATCAAAACAAAATTAATAAAGGCACCTAGACTACATTTGTGCCATAAAGGTTAAAGTAGAGGTTGAGGCACCTCAGAAGTCTCAAGGCTCACTCTCTCCAGCTGCTTCAATTACATAATCACATATTCATTGCAACCTCATTACCAATTCCATTTTCGAAAGCAGAATTATTTTGCGATTCTTCTTTTGCAAACCGTATTTTGCTTTGTTGTTGTATTTTGCGCTTCACAATGTGGCACACGCTTTCTTAGGAGACAGGTCTGGGCTGCAGGCAGGCCAGTCCAGCACCCACACTCTCTGATTTCACAGCCATGTTGTTGTAACATGTCCAGAATGGGATTTGGCATTATTGAAATAAGTATGGACGTCCCTGAAAAAGATGCATATATCTTTCAGCATTAATGGTGCCTTCATCTCTTAGCATTCAATTAAAATTCTACATCTCTTTGGTATTTCTTTTTAACTTGACCTGTCATTGTTACCCATCTGTAAAGCACTTTGAACTGCCACCAGTATTGAAAGTGCTCTATAAATAAGGATATTATTATTATTATTATCAGATAACAAAACATGTTTCCAGTGTGCATCAGTCCATTTTAGATAAGCTTAAGCCCAGAGAAGTTGGCAGTGTTTCTGAATGTTGTTGACTTATGGCTTCTGCTGTGCTTAGTACAGTCTTAACTTGCATTATTTATTGACAATGAAGTATTCCTGAGCCTATGTGATGATTTTCATCACAGAACCATGTTGCTTTTTATTTGTTGTGCCATCTCAGGGAACAGAGGTCACAGGCATTCAGTTGTGTTTTTTGGCCTTGCCCTTTACGTGCAGCGATTTCTCTGGATTCCCTGAATCTTGTGAGGATGTGCACCACAGTAGGTGACATATCTAAAATCCTTGCAATTGCTCATTGAGAAATGTTGTTCTTAAACTGTTGGATTATTCACTGACACATTTTGTGGTGAGCCTCGACTCATCATTGCTCATAATGGAGTAGGCCTTTCCTGGATGTTCCTTTTATACCCAGACATGACTGCATCACATGTTTAAGAGTTTTTTTTTTACCATTTCACAATGTTTCTAGTCTTAAATTGCCCCATATCAACTTTTTTGGAATGTGCTACAGTCATCACTTTCAGAATGAGTGTGTATTTACTAAAAACAGTTAAGTCTTTGTACTGTTTTTGTTCAAATCTGCTGAAGAGTAGAACTAGGCTAAGGCTGGGGTGGAGAACCTGACTCAGCCCAGAAAGGACAAGCGTGCTCACCCAAGGAAGGAGAAATAGACCAACGGAAGAAAAGTGAGCTGAGACCAGGGACGAGAAGAGGGCTAAGGAGAAGGGCTGAGCTTGGATTTAGAAGAACCTGGCTCAACCCATGAGGACAAACAGGCTGAGGCTGAAGAGGAGAACTGAGCCGACCAAGGGAAGAGAAGTGGGCAGATGCTTAAGGAGAAGAACTGGGCTCAGGCTGAAGGCTAGAACTAGGCTCAGTCAGAGAAGGGGAACTCGGCTCAGGCTGCACTGGGTCGACAAAATACATGCTCAGACATCCATTAAGGGTTATATTTTAAATTCTATAATCTTGAACAGCAGAGTCTAAATGATGGCTTTCTGCATTGAAGTTCTGTTCAGAAGAGCATCTCCAAAAACTAATGTTAGGAAGCTACCAACTAATAAGTGCTAATAAGCCTACTTAGGTAACATAACTTTTTTAAGCTACACTATGTAAGAATTGGATATCTCTCTGGTGGAAATGTGTAACTGCATGCAGTGTGCAGAAGAACAGTTTGGATGAATTTGAGGATTGCTAGCATGTTGAAAGAGTATTCAAGGAGAACTCAGTCAAAACCTAGTAAAGGATGTATCTTCCAAGGATGTGAGTGAATTATCTGCTATTGTCAACTTCATCAGTATAATGTTGATTTTGCATTTGAGGCCTGAACATCAAGCCGGACCTTCTTTTTGAGGCTATGTGTGTGACGTTAATAAAAAAGATGTATGAGGTGATCCAGAAAACTCCAGGGTAATCTGACCCGACATCTCTCACTTTTAAATTATTATTTCAGGCTTAACAAGGCAACTCACAGCAGAGCACGCACACCATATTTTACCATGAGTTTTCCTCCTGACTGTGTAATCATACTTCTTTCAATTTTAACAAAAAAAAAAATTTTTACATAGTGCAGCTTTAAGTTAAAAAAGCAACACAGGGCCACACTTTTACAGTGACACATCCCCAAAGCAGCATCTAATAGTTAGTGAGGGAAGTAATTTGGTTTGCTGTAATGAAAATGCAGTGTTTATTTATAAGGTCCATGACAACTGCAGAATTTGAAAATGTATAAATAAAACATAAATTAAAAATGCAAACTCTCCCTTAAACCAAGCCTATAGGTCTTTGCTATACTCAAACTTTGTTTTTCGTAGTTGCAGTTAAACAATCCTGAATTCTGCTGCATCTCCCTCAGCACCTCCCCCACTTCCCACATCACTGCAGATTTCCATACTTTTTGGCTGCATTAGACTCACAGCTCGAGTGCAAAACTAATGGAGCAAAATTTGGACTCCAAAAGTCTGGAGTCATGGCTGATTGGCATGTCTTTTGTGTAAAGTGGATTATTCACCAGAGCCTCAGATGAGTGTCCATTAATTAAATTCTATTATAACTCAATTATTAATCTTTAGTTTACTGAACATTAGATCACTGAGCATTTAGGTAAAATGTCCATGTACCACTATCTGCACTTTTTTTTAGACAATGGAAACAGATTTAGCCACCTGAGTCTGAGCAATGTGTTGCTATTACAACCACTGAAAAACAAACTTAAAGGTGAGTTTTCAAAATCTTCACATAACACAATTGCTGAAAAACAGCAAGTAATTAAGAGTGGTTTAATGTGAAATGGTGCATTGTAAGAAAATGTATTCCCAGTGGTGTGCAATGCAAATATAGCAATCTTGTTTATTATCCAATATGACCACTGAATCTACATGTGTCTTCTGAGGTTTGTATGCAATGTTGACTCCAGTAAAATGTTTATATCCAAATAATATGTTCTTAATGTACTATTTTCTGTTAAAGCACCCTACATGTGTTAAAAAATGCCAATATACCAAAACCTAAACAGTGTCTCACACATCAAGAAGCATATTCACAATTATTTTTTTTTTATTTCATTCTATGGGAGACAGTTCCTTCTCCTCTGTTGTCCCACACCTGTGGAATGATCTCCCTGACAGCGTCCAAGCAGCAAGTAAGTCTATTAAATCTCTTTATTAAAGTTTTTAGAGATGCATATTATTGTTAGATAGCTGATTTTTGTCTGTAATTGCTTTATTATGAATGTCCACATGTGTCTTTGCATGTATTTTATAGACGTTTGAGCTCTTGGAGGAGGCGCTACATATATGAATAAATGTATTGTCATTATTATTTTCATTTCTTATCAGAAATGTGATGCAGCTTTTACAGGAAATTTCCACAGATTTTTCTTAATTTCTGCATGATTTAGTTCTTGAGTTGTAAACTATCATTCAGAGTGGTTTGATGTGAAATGGTACATTGTAGAGAAACCTACCCACTCAGATTTCTTTGTAATGGTGATGATAATAGTGAAAATAGTGGTAAATCTGAAAAAATAAGCTGTCCAAAAGAGTACTATTTTACCTTACAATGCAACCTTGCATGTATATCTCTGTCATGACTATTTTTTAAAATATTTTTTAGGCCAACACCTAAGCTTAAAACTTCGTCTCAGGCTGTAATAATAACTTTATGTGTTATGTATAACACACTGCAGACGTTTGGTTCTTATCACTGCTGTAGTGAACCATTTTGGCTTGGTACTTTTTTTATAGAGTGGGTGATTTCATATTAAATTGCTCTGAATTACATCTTAACTGCTTAATTATGCAGAAATCAGGAACTATTGGTGAAATCCCCCTTAATATCTTAAGTTTCATAGGGCTTGCTGAGTATCAGTTACTCTCTAAAATGAAATTCCCCTAAGCTATTGTGCAATCAGATAGAGCTGCTTAGGTTCCTTTTACTGGTGTATTCATCTAGAAGAGAGACATGGGACACACAACAGTTTACAAACCTACATATAGGTAGCAATACATCATTTTATTCCCCACAAATATATTGCAGATTACTGACATGGTAATTATTTTTTAATAAGACAAGCCATGAATTAATATATTGAGGCCACAAATTACCATATTAAGGCCACAAATTACTACATTGAGTACACAAATTACTATATTGAGGCCACAAATTACTATATTGAAGCCACAAATTATGAGAAACTTAATTTGTGGTCTCAATACAGTACATTGTGGCCTATGGTAATTCATGTACTCAATATAGTAATTTGTGGCCTCAATATATTAATTTGTGGTCACACCTTACTAAAAAATAATCACCCTAATGGCTCCGTAGTAGAATAATGAAGAGAAAATAAAAATATTCTATGTGTGTCTGACTGAACAAAACTCCTCAAAGAAGAGATAAAGTCAATTTCAGAAGTTCACTCTGCTGTTTTGGATTCACATTCCTTATCCCTGTGGTTCTAGAAACACACTGAAATATCAACACCTTATCATTTCTGAAGCATGAAATGCCTTAAATGGGTTTTACTCCACATTAGTCTAAATGTGTGCTTTATAGTTTAAAGTTGTAGAGGAGAGAAAAGTTAGCCGGAGCCACAAGCCGCTCGCTTCTAGGGGCCGCTACGTTCCTGAGTCCAGGCTTCTGGCCAATCAGCGTCAAGCACGAGAATACTCTCACCCTATTGGTCCGTCGCGTCGATCCGGGTTCCAGTGTAAAGCCCGTTTAGTATCGGAAAGGTACCAATATGGCGGAGGTAAGATTGGAAAAAGACGGACTAGGCGACGCAGCTTTAACGTTAATTTCTCGTTTCTTGGGGCACCAAGTCGAACTATTTCTGCTCGATTGTCGTCATGAACGTCTTATGTTCGATAAATGCGCGTTAAGTTCGGGAGATTAGGGGATTTGACGCCAAAAAGGACGGTTAGAAGCTAGTCGGGTTTCGTATCGTCGGCGTTTAGGCCGGGCGGCAGTTCGCTAGCTAACCAGCTAAACGCAGCCGTTTAGCAGCGGGCTGCTAGCCGAGCTCGTATTTACTGAAATTCCGTGTACGGGAGGGTTTAACATGAGCTATTTCTGACTAAAACAGTTCTGTTTTATCCTACATATTTAAGTCTAGCGCTGCCAAGCAATGTTACGAGCCAAACCCGATTATTTTCATCCGTTTTTTGCTTTCACAGTTTTATTTGAGCGCGGTTTAGCCAGAAATAATATTTTTCTTCACTGTATTAATTGGAGGAAGGTGGGGAAATATTCCGCTAAATAAATTTACCTCAGGATAAGTGAGAGAGAGCGACAGCAAGCCGGTTTATCTGAGCCGCGTAGTAGTGATGTCGAGCCGTCTTTAGCTATGAGAGACAGTTCCAGACCTCGAGATACAGTTTTGTAGCGGTGAGTGGTGCTAAAATGGTTATCTAGTAACGTTATAGCGGTAGTCGCGAACTTAGACGCTGTCTTTTAACGCAAACTCCTGTGTAACTTGCGTTGAATGTCTCCCGTGAACTTCTTTATAGAGAGAGCACCGATGCCTCGCTCGGTTGTGTGTTACTGGAATGTTTTGTTTGTGCTTGAACTTGCTTTCGTCCTGATAAATAGCCTATAATGGCCACTTTAGGTGTGTTTTGAAGCTTGGATGTCAAGTTAATTTAAAGGGCACCGGTTTTTCAAAAAATTAGACATAATTAAATGGTTAACATGTAAACAAAGTCATTCAGAGTGGTTGTGAAATGCTCCGTTCTAGACAAACTTTGCCGAGTCAAAATTGTTCACAGTGGTGGTGATGGGAACCAGACATCTGAAGAGTTTAATGCCTCTGAAGTCTCCCTCACAGAAAGTTTTAACATGAAATGGTTTGATATATGCTGCCTGATGTCTCATACTTTGTTATATGATTGTTTTATGCTAAAGTGTTGACTTAAATGTATTTTAATTCATTCATGGTGGAGGGCTATATGCAGGGCGTTGTTAGGCAGAATAGTCCCCTAAGAAATCTTTATTTTTTCAGATATACTACTGTTTTACCATCATCAACATTACATATATAAAAACTCAGAAGGCACATGTAGGTTCACTGGTGGTTTAGAATAGTCTATATTTGTGTTGTAAACATAGCGACCCCCTGGTTCTGTCACCACCACTGTAAAGAAATCTGAATTTACAAGTTTCTCTATAATGAACCGTTTCACATCAAACCACTCTGAATGGCTCTGTTTACATCTCACGGGCTGAATCATTCAGAGATTTCGAAAAATTGGTGGAATACCCCTTTGTTTCTTGTAATCTAACTGATTTATTTTTTTATTTTTTCAGGCTTCCTTGGGAAGTACAAGTCCAGGTAAATGAGTGACAAATTGTGCTTCATGTTTATTTTTATCATCTTAATATATTTTGCTAAATATTAAAAGTTTTTTTTTCCTGTCATTTGCAGTTGGCTCTTTGTCATCAGAGGATCACGACTTTGACCCAACAGCAGACATGTTGGTCCATGATTATGACGATGAGCATACTCTAGAGGAAGAAGAGATGCGGGAAGGAGAGTCAAATGTGAGTTCGGAGATAGCAGATCTGGAGAAGGTAATGCTTATTTATTTGGAGGCAATGCTTTTTATTCAGTATAGTAGCAAGGTTATTTAATCTATATAGTCTTTGAGGCCAGTTAACTAGGGAAGCACCGATAAGGGAATCATGGGCTGATATTTTCCATATGCCGGTACATTAACATTTAGAAACTGTGACAACATCTGCCTGGAATAGCATTATAGAGCAATGTAACAACTGCAGTAAAGTGAATAAAAGGCAGACATTTTAGTGCAGTTTTTCAGTGTTACCTAAACATTCAGCACTTCGGGAGTACAATAAATATGTATTGGTTAATTATATCGGTCAAATCTAAACACCTGTTTTATGCTGATATATGTATATATATTTTTTATTATTATTTCAGTAAAGGTCTGTTAATGATGATTTGTATGAAGTCATATGTTCTTGTAATTAACCAAAACTTTGTTAAACAGGAGGGGAACATGCCACTGGAGGAGCTGTTGGCCTTGTATAGGTATGAACCATCAGTCAGCACTGTTGGTGGTTCGAGTGCGGACAGCTCGTCTGTGGAACTGACGGATGAGTTACCCTGACATGACGTTAGACAAAGTAAGTTAAGATTGCATTATTACTGTCTTTTGGAACATTTAAAGGTGCTGACCTCCCTTACTGACTTAGTTTTGATCACTTGAGTGAATGTCTGAATAGTGCCTAGTGGTTGTGTCAAGGCTACATTTTGTAATATAGCAATAAAGGAGGAAAAAAAAATGTCCGATAAAGTTTTTTTTTTCTTTTTGTATGTTGTAACGGAAAAGAAACGATTGTCATTTTCTTTGAACAGGAGGAGATTGCTAAAGATCTGCTGTCTGGAGATGATGAAGAAACCCAGTCTTCTGCTGATGATCTCACACCATCAGTGACCTCGCATGAAACCACTGATTTCTTCCCCAGAACTCTTCGCTGTAAGTCCTGTTGTTGGTAATAGGGCTGAATAGATTTTTGCATTGTCATTTTTAGTTAAGAAAAAAAAAAAACATGCCTGTATGTTGAGAAATAAAAGTGGAACCATGCAACTTGCATAACATAAAATATACAGTTACACAGGATGAGAATTTATTTTTACAGAGTACAGTAGATAGATTTTGCTTAGGGGTTTATTCAGTGTATGTCACGGAGTGTGGAATTCTCTATTCTTAGGTATGTAATGCATCATAAACTCTCTTCTAGCTCACAGGAAGAAATACACAGCCAACAACATGACATGTAGAGTTTCAATCAGGCATGAAATTATCGTCTGAACCTGAATGCAGCTACAGAATAGTCTGTCCGAGCCCAGCCCGGCACACAGCATTGTGTTCTAAGTCCGAACCGTACCAGAGCCCAAAAAAATTCTGTCCAAAACTCACTTAACCTGAACCATATTATGTTAGGAGTCAGAAATCGACCTGAATAGGCCCATCTGTCAGTTAAACTGCTGAATAAATCCTGATAGGATAGCACCGCTTATCTCGTAGTGCCAATAATAGGTGCCACTAGAACACAGATAAATAAAATGGTATTAAATAATATGCTACAATGAAATAATCAGTTGTCCAAAATTGTGTACATTTAAATGCACTGTTCTCACACTGAGCGGTGCTGATGTAGTGAGATGTTAGCCTTCAGCTGTTTTACAATTAAAACTGTATTGCTGCACATAGAACATGGTCTATAGAACATGTTAAACATATATTTCAAGCTCTGATGACCTCACACAATGTGACTGTGCTATTTCAGGCTTGATGGGTAACAAAATTAGTTCGTATTATTTTTTTCCCTCTAGTGTCTGATCCAGCAATTTCTACTGATATTGACTTGATACCAATACCCACTGATACGAATATTCCAATTCCTGTATTTAGCTTCATTTGAGCTGGAGAGGTACTGGGGTGATGGGAGAAGTTCAGTATATTACGAATGGTATTATATGGGTAGGAATATGAGTGTTGTAAGTGTGGCGTAGACAAAGAATTTTCAAGAAAGATGCGCTTGGCGGTAGTAGACTCGAAATTTGGACGGGGGCTGTCTTATTAGTGCCATGGATGGATAAGTAGGTCAGAGCAGATGACTTTTTGAACATGTTTATTATATTGGTATGCTTAAAGAGGGTTGTTTCTAAGCCAAACTAGGCAATGAATAATGCGAAAATGCTTTTAAAACTGCTCGTTAAGTAGAACTCCATTTGATGGATAAAGTTAAGCATTTACAGAAGAAGAAATTATTCCTTTGCTATCTTTATGATGCTGATTGCATTCTTAGCTAAAAGAGCTGGATAACATTTTCACAAGTATCGCTACTGAGGTCAGTGTTCCAGCTTAGTGAAAATGTGCAAGACGTTTTGTCTGCTTGTCTTTACCTTGTAAAAAGATAAATCTACACACATAGTGTAATGTGCTATTTTTTTTATTTTTATTTTTTTAACTGATTTTAAGGTCTGTTGGGAATAGAACATGGGAGAGGGCACATGGCTCTGTGGTGCAGCTGTGTCGAGTGAGACAGTGAGAGATGTAGCGCCCTGCTGTATATCACGTTTCCTGTTTTTCACTAAATTGTTAGTCTCATTAAACCGGATTTCTCTAATACTCGGGAGCCTGTCAACAACAGTCGCCTTAACTGTCGTTACACGACTTAAAAATATTGTAATGTTTAATGTTGATAACTGCTGTCTTAAAAACAGCAACAACTGAATCAACACATTGACACCAAACTACTTGGTCTGAAGTTCACAAACAGTATTTTAGAGTGCCTGTGGTCCCTGTGGGGCGGCACGGTGGCGCAGTGGGTAGCGCTGTTGCCTCACAGCAAGAATGGCCTGGGTTCGATTCCCGGCCGGGCGACTAGAGTCGTTTCTGTGTGGAGTTTGCCTGTTCTCCCCGTGTCTGCGTGGGTTTCCTCTGGGTACTCCGGTTTCCTCCCACAGTCCAAAAACATGCAGTCAGGCTGATTGGACGTGCTAAATTGCCCCTAGGTGTGAGTGTGTATGTCCGTCTGTCTGCCCTGTGATGGACTGGCGACCTGTCCAGGGTGTATCCCGCCTTCCGCCCAATGACAGCTGGGATAGGCTCCAGTACCCCACCGCGACCCAGAAGGATAAGCGGTTTAGATGATGTATGTATGTATGTATGTATATGTGGTCCCTCTGTTTTAGATCCGCTGAAATTCTCCTGATAAGGAATGATATAATATTCCCCCATATGAATATTGTCGGTAGTTAAGGTGCAACGGTTCGCCATGAAATTGTTCAGATGAAATGGTGACATTCTGTGAAGTACATTACAAATATAATCTAATATCCCACTTAATTTCTTCTTATCTAGCCAACACTATTTACGATGGCGACAAAGAGTCTGAAGGTGAGGAGGATGGTCTGAACACTGAGGACTCTCGAAAGGTGAGGCCTGGTATTTTCATGAAAGCATTTAATTTAAAATTGCCTTTGATTTTGTTGCAAGCAGTAGTAAGAAACAATACGCTTGTGGTTGATATTTATTTATTTGGTAGTTTGGAACAAACATTCCTGATATTTTCAGCTTTTACCTGAGTAAAGAGTGTGTTAAATATTTTGACTTACTTTGACAGGAAATCATGGTTGGATCTCAATACCAAGCTGAAATTCCCTCCCTTACCTGCTATGATGAACATGAGAAGGGTAAGTTGCTAACTTTACCCAATAGCTGCAGTTTCGCAGTTTGCGTCACCTTGCGAAATGGTCACGGCTAAGGCTTGTCCGGAAGATTGGCTGTAAAAATGGCAGTGCACTTGCAGTTATTAACAGTAACGACACAAAAGTGAGCAAAATCATATCCGGTAGTCTCATAGTTGTGGGAGTATAATGCCACACACTGAGTCTTATCTAACAGATGTAGAGAACTCATGTGGTTGGTGAATATAATTACATCACGTAACTATGTACTTGTCATGGCATAATGCTGCACATTGATGTGTAGCAAAATGTATATGTAATGGCCGTGAAATATATTGTTACCAGCAGTAGAGTGATGGGTATGTTCTGCTGCAGAAATTAAAATGGAAATTAAAATAGAAATTAATATAATTTCACTTGTGAAAATTTGCTGGCAAGTTTAGATGTGACTGGACCTTAAACAGTTCATCGTGGACAATTTGTTTAGCGTCACCATCAGCGTCAGAAAGCTGCAGTATTTTGAAATCCAGTAATGTGTGTAAAACATAACACCATAGACATTTGTGGTAAAGATGAGTGAGCCCTGTAGTCATACTTCCTGTGTGTCATGATTACACTGAAATGCAAACCACCCAGTTTGAAAATTGTTTGTCTTCTAACATTATTCCATTCAATCCGCAGTATATGAGGACGAAGATCAATTACTATGGAAACCGAATGTATTACCAGAGTCGAAAGTAAAAGATTTCTTGCAAGAGGCAACCCTGTCAAGTACTGATGGAGCTATAGAGGGAGATGGAGAGTGTCTTGTTAGAGACAATGAACAGGTAAGATTGTTACCTAGTCTTTTTATGTTTGGGAGTTTGAAAATCCAGTGAATTGATATATACTTCTTTGATATATGCGTGAGCAAGTAATGCTTCATGTAAGTGTTATAAAATAGTAAATTCCTACTACTTTTTGTAGTAATGAAAGCAATAATTTAAGTCTTTATTCTCTGCAGGCCCTGTATGAGCTTGTTAAGTGCAACTACACTATCCATGAAGCTCTTGAACGGTATCGCAGCAATGAAAAATCTTCAAAGGGTATGTTGGCTAGTGTATCGCGTGACTGTTTGAGACTTGTTTCGTACAGTTGCGAGATGAAACTGACTGAAGTTTTTCTTTTAGATGAAATGCACCCCTGGTCTGAAGAAGAATGCCGAAACTTTGAACATGCTCTTCTTTTATATGAGAAGAACTTCCACCTCATTCAGAAGCACAAAGTAAGAACAAATTTTATTAATAGTGACAAAGCCATTACTGAATTTTTGGCTCATATCTTGCTTCATAGGTACAAAGTGTGTTTTTGCAGGAAAATCCTTACTACTTTTTACTTCCTCAAGGTTAATACAAGGACTGTGGCAGAATGTGTTGCGTTTTACTACATGTGGAAAAAGTCAGAACGGTTCGACTTCTTTGTCCAGCAAAATCGATTTGGGAAAAAGAAGTACAGCAGCTACCCTGGTGTAACGTGAGTGTTTTGAAGTGTAAACGTTGCCAGTTTCATTGACAAATCAAGGAAAAGGGTAAAAACCTGAAAGCTGATGCTGATCTGTCCGTGTGTCTTGTGTTCTGGCCCTCTAGGGACCTGATGGATCGACTGGTGGACGAAGCAGAGGGTCTGGTAGATGGCTCGGGCTCCGTCTGCTCCAGCAGCAGTGGCAGGATAGAGCCCTCAGCTGACCAGCAGCTCAACATCTTGAACTCAATCACCGCCAGCGACCTCTCCGGTGAGTCCATCCCACTGCTGTGGCAGAAATTGGATATTTGTCATGACTGGCTTTAATGTAACGCTGCTTGTGGTGATTTAAAGGAAAAATATTGGCAATGTTTTAGTAAAGTTTACTGGCTCAGGTTCAAAAAAGCATAGTTGCTAGGGGTGCAATGATTGGTCGACAGAGTGACCAGAGTGTCAACGGTCAGTGACATTAATTTTTTAATTTATTTATTTTTATTTTTTATTTATTTATTTTTATTTAAAACATAAAACACTCTGTAATGGTCATATGAAACATGTAGGTGATACAACAAATGGCAATACGCTACTAGAATCGTTAAAGGAATGGTTTGGCGAAAAATCTAATTTGCACATTTTCCACTTGCCCTGAAAGTATGTTTGGTGTCTTAATTTTGCATCTTTAGTGTAGTGATGGTGCTAACATGCTAAGAAACACTGGACATTAATAGTCACCCAAATCTTTTACATAAATACATGCCCAAAAGTTCTCTCCCTCTTCTCTCCCTGCTCAAATCGCATTCTGGTCTTCATGAATTGCTCCTCCACTGCTGCTGGTGAAGTTTTACTTTATTTATTTATTTTCATAGTTTGCAGTAAGCCATACTGCGACCTAAACCACATTAAGAAGTCTGCACAACTGTAATGAGGACCTGGATGTGGTTTGAGTGGGTTGAGAGAAGTTTTTTTACCAAACAGTTTCTTTAAGGGCAAATACTGTTTTGGTTTAGTTTAATTTCACTACAAGTTGGTTGATTGGATAGTCAGTAGACTAATCAATTATAAAAATAATAGTTTGTTGCAGCCTAACTGCATATTCATAAACTTGTAACACCATGATGAAGCTGGGGACATAAAACAGTGAATTGACACATCATCCTATCCCTTTTCTTAGCACTAACCAGCAGCGTGGCATCAGTGTGTAACCCTGGCGATGTGAGCTGCCTGGACTCCTACAACTTCTCACCTCTGGACGGCCTCCACCGCGGACCCCTGGGCCACGACGAGCCCCTCAGTTTCTCCGGCAACGGAGATGGCGACTGCCTCAATCTATTAGACTCTGGCTTCTACCATTCGGACCTCGGGCAGCTCAACGTGTGCAGCGACGACTGCGAGAGGCCGCCAGCCAAGAGGCTGAAGATGGGCCTGTCCGAGCCCTTCCTGAACGAGGTGGCCATGGGCAGCCGCGGCATGGGCGTGGACTTCGAGGGCCGCACGCACCACATCACCAGTGCCAAAATGGCTGTTTCCGTCACTGACTTTGGCAGCCTTTCAGCCAGCGAGGCTGGCAGCTACATGGGAAGCCACACACTACATCAGCACACGGCACTGCAGTCTGAGTAACTGTTCATGAAACAAAAATGCCTCGCTCCGGTTCGATGGGACCACTTGCAGTCGAACCATGTATATAGCCGCTCACTGGAAATTCAATTTCTTTTTGTTGTTGTTTTTGTTTATTAATTATGTATATTTGCGTGTATATATGTACAGATTCCTTTTTTTACTCTGACATCAGTGATGTCTTATTGTACAGACCTTAATCTTGAGTTCTCAAGAGTTAATACAGCCATTTATTTTCAGTCCGGAATATTTTGGAAAGTGTCATATGTATCCTGTCCGAATACTGTGGAAGCTGAACTTGTGGTATGGAGTGAAGGGTCTGGACTTTCACTTCATGTCAGTAGTTTCCCACAAGAGTTGCAGAACCTTCAGTCTCATACACCCACTCCCCCATTTTTATCGATGACAAGGTGTGTCTGCCACAACAGTCTGTTGGTACTCAGCAGTGTTGACCGGTACCTACACCTCGGCTTACATAGCTTTTATGCGATGACTCCAAATGTTTGGAAATTCTTTTATTAAGACCAGAAGACTTTTTGTAAATGGAGCCATTGTTCATCCTAAAGGAGACTCACAGGCACCAGGGCATGTTCATCATAATCATCAACGTACATTTAAGCGGTTCCGCAATTAAGGCTTTAGTCACTCTGATTTGACAAGGGAAAATACTACGGTTCATAAGAAATGCCACCTTTTTATATATGGTCAGTTGAGCTTTACTGTAGCTGCAACAAAGATTTGTAGATTTCTATAAATGAACAGTAATTATGATCACCCCTCCCAAATCCCTCCCCGGTATTTGAACGCAACATTAGATCTTTTCACTTGTCATAAGGAAGGAAGACACTGCGACAAAGAGTGTAATACATGTTTTTGTAACTTTTATTTATTTGTGCTCTTTATATGCTCCCTTTTTGCAGTTCTGTTTGTAGTCAAATGGTTGTTGAATTTTGGGGGGTATTTATTGCTATAAAGACCATTGGACTGCACTTTGGTCACTACAGAGCAAATATTAGCTGTACTCTAAGATCCTCTTTTTGAAAACGAGAAGAATTTTGACGTTTTACTGGCACATGTCCTTTTCTGTGTTTCGATGTGTTATGAGACCAGTTGTTCTGTCCATCGTTTCGTTCCCTAGAGTGACTCTTTATTTGAAGTATAATTGTTTGCATGGGTATCTTTTTAGCAAGCTTATGATAACTAGTTGCAGGCATTAATTGGGATGTTTGTTTTTGTAGTAAATTAGCTCACCCATGATCAATAGCCAATTATGTATATATCCACATCGACTGCATCATGTGGCCCCCAAACCTTGTTCTCACTGCCAGGTTATGTTTCGAGAAGTGGTAGGTAGGGTCGGACCGCTCAAGACAGAAAAATCAGCTCTGTATCTAAATGATCCACAAAGGGAAGCGGCTGTCGACCTAAATTTATCTATGCATTTACTACAGTAATTTCAACCCAGACGTGGTTATTATTGACCTTATTTGAACCCGCGAGACTGACCAATCCAAGTAATGTAAATCTTGGAGTGACTTGATGTAATTGGTTGGGGTTTACACTAAGAACAGATGGGTTTCCAGATAAACACCCTTTTTAGCCCTTGTTTAGTGAGCGTGTTCTCAGCTCTGTTCTTCATTTCCCTTACTGACATGATCCAAGTATATTTACCTCAATATGGCTTTCCTTCGTGAACTCTTATGTACTCTCATATGGCAATAATTTGTAAATATGTACAGACACCAACATAACCTTCCCACTTTCTCTTCCTTGGCAAACAGACTTGAACTTGAAAACTTTGAAATCTGTGCTTTTGAGTCTGTAACTTAAGTATTCCACAGAAATGCCTTTACTTGCTTTACCGTTTAGCTGATTATATATATATTTTTTGTTTGTTTTTCTTTTTGCTTTACGAGAGATTCGCTTAAGAAGAGAGTTATTTATTTATTTATTCACTTAAAACTGCAAGTGGGTGTAGTGTGTTCGATGTTCAGTACATGGCGTGTGCAGCTAAGCTGTCCTCCACTGCCGGCCCAGCGCTTTTGGGGTCTCACGGGGGGTCCGTGCCGACGCAAACCCAGTAGAGCGTACCTGAGCTCCGTCTTCACAGAGTAACTAGTGAAGTAGTTGAATGTACAGTATTATTACGTCTTAGGGGGTTTACTGAACTTGTCTGAGAGAAAGAATGTTTGCTGGTTAAGGCATGGCCCTATTTGCAGTGTTGCCTTAACACTTGTTGCTTATTAAAAAACTTGCATGTTTAAATCTACCTGAAAAAAAATACACAAAGACAATGGCCTCTTTGGGAGAGAACGGAAGCTTTTTGGCCCGTTTTTAAAGCCTGAGAAAGGTCTTTTCCGAGGATTTTAAGGCTGGTGAGAGATGCGGGAGAGTGAGGACGGCTCGCACTATGTAAAATCGTTTCCTGTACCTGAGGCCAGAATTCTCCATTCTGTTTTTTTTGTTTTTCATTACATACTTGAAGGATGTGTATTGATGCATTTATTTAATACACTTAAACAATATTCTCAAATTTGAGTCCTGTAGGTTGTGCAATTAATTTCTCCTGTCCCTCCAAGGATTGAACAGAGCTTTAGGAAACTGTGTTGGTGAAGTAACTTATTCATGTCCAAAGTTTGTATGAAAAGTACTAGCTTAAAATTGTTGTAAATGTAGTGATGGTCCTTTGCTTCCAGGGGCAAGAATTTAAATGTAAAAATTTAAAAACCCTCCTTATCAGAATAACGTTAAGTTTTGTTAAGTAAACAGTCATTTTTTTTCTTCATTCGTTCAATTTTTGTGCTGGGGAAAAAAACGATAAGCATTACAGTAAAAAAAAATTTTTCTTTAACACTTATTTTGGTGTAAAGAAATTATAGTGTTAAATAGACAATCAAACAGCAATTACTATTCAAAAGGAAATTTTATCATTCATAATGTTTGTACATAGACACTGTTTCTGTTTTGTTGGTTTTTATTTTGTATTTTATGTTATACTTAAACAACTGGCAAACAGATCCAGGAATAAAGTTCTGGAAATATTATGACTTGCTCTGATGTTATTTTTCCTTTCCATTTTTTTTCCAAGTTATATTCACTTGTCATTGTCTCATTGCCCTCTTTACTATTGTACTCTCTGACAAAATGCAGAGATCATACATGTTTTTAAGGTCAACCTGAAACCAAAATTGACCTTTTTTATTGTTCATATTAAGCACAATTTATTCATCATACCATTTAAAAGACAAAGTTCCTGTTTTCTTGTAGTCTCTGAAATATAATGACAAACGTTTTTTTGACTATCACAAATTTGCTTTTACTTTTATGGTTAACACCTAAGCAGTTTCTCACCCAAAATCTCTGATCTTGATCTGCAAGACGAGATTGAAGAGCAAATCTATCTTTGCCAATGCATGTTTAAATGAAGTTACACTCCAGATGTTGGAGCTTTAATGTTTTTCTACAATCAGTAGTCTAGTCTGTCTATCCACCAATTACTTGTTAGCCTTGTACATCTAACAAAGCACAGAAAAGTGAAAAATTTAAGTGCAACAATTATTGGCCAGTTTATGGGGAACCTGTGTTAGAGTAGATTTCCCATATTCCAACTTTATTTGGTTATATATCTTTAAAGCTGTAAATAAACATCTGTGGTTAACAGTGGTTAAGTCATTAAATACCAACCTGGATTTCTTTACAATGGTGGGGATGGGAACCAGGGGGTCACAAGGTCTACAACGTAAATAGCGTACATTTTATTTACCATCCATTTCTAGCAGTGAACCCACACGTGCCTCCTTGGGTTTTATGTGTAATGTTGATAATTAGGATGATTTAAAAAGATTAATCCGATTTCAAAGCACCATATTTTTCCAACTGTGAGGCGCCTAGGAACCAATCACATACCAGTTGAAAGAGGGGGTCAGAGAGTTTCTGATGGCTCCCTTCAGTCTGCGAGGAGGTGGCGACCCTGAGCAGAAAGCGTTTTGCGTTCTCCACTTCAATAAGAGTGAATCCATCATAACTGTGCGACGTCGTTTTCGTCGGCAGTGAAGCTCCAACAGCTCAGAGCGTTCGGCGTTGGTTCCACGACACTGGAAGATCTCAGAATTCGCATTGAAAGAGTAGAGTGACACCCGATATGCTCAATCGAGTATGGAATGAATTTGACTATGGCGTTGATGTTGTCTGTACAGCTGGAGGAGGTTCATCCTGAGCACTTGTAAAATTACATAAACTTTATGCTCACTTAAACTATTTACAATTTACTGCATTGTTCTGTAATGATTTACAAGTGAAATAAATCATTTTGAAATCGGATGAATCTTTCTGAATGTACAATGTCTTAGGCATCAGGCAATAACACTTTATATAATAGCATCCAGTGAGAGAGCTTTTAGAGGCACCTCTAAAGCGTCTGGTTCCCATCAGCACTGCAGTGAACAATTCTCTGTAAGTTGGTAAGTTTCTCTACAACAGAATATTTCACATCAAACCACTCCAAATTACTTTGTTGAAATTAAAATTAGCAGAAATATGTGAAAATCAGTGAAGTTCCCCCCTTTAAATAACACATCAGTGGTGGGCTTATTTGACTACAACCCTACTCAAACCACCTGAGCACGGTCTACTGAAAAGCACTGTAAATCCAATGAAAAGTGAAAAATTAGAGTCGTATCCGACCCCCAAACTCCTTGTCAACTGACTGTGAAAGTTCTCAGAAATTACTGATGTTTGGATAAATAACAACTTCTATTAGGTTCAAACTCTCACTTACTTTTAATGGGTTTTTAAAAGTCCATTACAACAGAAATTGATTTCCAATGGGCCATAGAAAAAAAAGTTTTATAAGACTATTTATGTGCCATGATCGGTCTAGTGCACAATTGTATAATAGTTAGAGAACAGCTCTTCACCCTTGTTAATGTCTCTTAGTGACACAAGGACAACACAGCGCAATGGTCTGAAAAAGACAGAAAGCAGAAGAAAAATTAATAGTGGCAAACAATATGGATGTGCTTCAGCAGTACCGGGCAGAAAATGACAAGCACATCAATTAAGAACTAAAACAAAACGATTTCAAATGAATCTGAACATCTGGTGTCTTGCCTTTGTACGTCTGTCCTGTAATTAACATTGGGAAGATACTGACGAAGCTCCAGAGGAAAACCGTCAGGGACATCAAATTCCTGATAGCAGACATTGGCAGCCTTTTCTAGGGATAAACAAGAGAACAGGTTACCATTAAAAAGGGTCCCTAAAAGAAACAAGAATTCTGGACAACATCACTACACCTCAATAGCTGATTTTGTAGTCATCCTTTCTAAGGTTAATTTGTTTAACCAACTTAGATTTTTTTGCTCTGCCAATACAATATAGCGTTTTGTAAAGGATAAACTACAGTAGTAGAGGTATTGTTGGAAGCCTTGCCCAAGAACCCCAATCTGCTGGGTGTAGGGCAACAGTGTTACCCAAGTGGTCTCTAACCCTGGTCCTGGAGAGATACCTTCCTGCAGAGTTTAGTCCCAACCTGTGTCAATAAGCTGTCCCACTCCTTATTTAACTCTAATACATCTGATCCAGTGAATCAGAGACTTTGGAAAAGAGGTGGCTCTCCAGGACCAGGGTTGGGGACCACTGCACCACACTATACCAACCGTAATCTGAACACAAGAAGGGTGATGTTTCCATTGAGCATGCACCATGTCTCAAGTATTATATGGTTTCATAAGTGGAAAATTTAGGCACCTCTGCCCTCCACCCACCACACTGGGGTTTGATTCCCCACCCAGGCAAGCACATCATACTGTACCAATGAGTGTCCCTGGGCAAAACTCCTCTGTAACATGGTTAGACTGGAAGCCATTCTGAAAAACAGTGATCGCCAACGCTGTAAATATAATGTAGGCCAGGTATCCTATTAAAAAAAATGTAATATTTTATTGGCAGCTTGAAATTGGGTAAACAAACAAACCTAGGTTGGTTAAACAAATGAGCCTTAGTAAGGATGACTACAAAAGCAGCTGTTAAGCAAACTCAAGGTCTTAAAAGTCTTAATGCATCATGTTGCCTTGGTATTCTGATTTCTCTCAACAATCATCTATTTGGAAAAGACTGCAGTAAAAAATACAGTTAGAGATCCTTCAGCCTAAACCTAGCCAGTTCTTTGTAGCAGGGGCGTCAAACTGGGTTCCTTCCAGATCACAGCTCTGCAGTGATTAGTGTTTTTCCTCTTCTAATCCTCTGAAATCAACTCATGAAGGCCTTGCTAATTAACTGATGAGCTGAATCAGGTGTGTTTAATGAGGAAGAACACTAAACTCTAAAGATACCTTCTAAAAAATTAAGGTTTGTCAAAAAGAAATGAGCAACGTAAGAGCAACACTAAAGAAAAAACACTTTCTGTAAAGAATAAAAGAATCTCTAACATGGATTCTGGTTACAGGTTTGGTAAGTCGTGAGATGATCTGAAACAGGAAAAACACGAAAGGAATACTCCAACATTTTTCAATCACAGAGTACGGTGATTTAACGATTTCGATCCAATTTTCTGTACGAAAAACAGAATCACAACACACTTAAAATAAATGCCAGTAAGCAGTTGCTTCAGCACCATATGCTACTGATAAGGACTATTGAGATAAGGCTGAAAAACACTGAGCAGTCTTTGACCCTGTCTGTTTTACCATAGAAACTGTGGCTGCACCCAAAATAACATGCTACTGTACTGTACATACTACACTAATGAATGCACAACTAATGAGGGTGCACTGTTATGATACTGTGTAGTATTGTGTGCAGTTTTGGATGCAGATTATCTATATTACCTTTAAACGTATTTCACTTTTAGTGAGCGTTCATTAAGTCACTTGCCATTGGAGCAATTGTTCACATACTGTCCCACTGCTAGAGGGTTCTCTGGGTGAGGCGTTAGCCATGAGATGTCACTCAACCTGAACGGACCAAATCTGTCCCGCCCACTGCACGACCTACAAGACAGAATGGAATATAGTTGTGATTTCTGAACTTCCAACTATCTGCAGATTACTCAAATTTATATTGGGTAACTTTTGGGGTGATAGAAGAGGGCCAGGTGAGAAGCCCCTCTGCGTATGTGTTCCTTATTTTCTCTCCTGATCATTTGCCCTCTGTCCATCCATCCACTGTAAGAACACACTCAACACTATGAGTCTCAAAAGCATGTGTAGCTGCAAGAAGCCCTCACTCAGAAAAGGAAATGGACAAAAAAGTAGAAGATTTATAAATCAAACAAAGAAGCTGCTGGTGTTCTCATAACAATGGACCACCCCAGAGTCCAGACCTCAAAATCACTGAATGTGTTTGGGATCATTTGGATCATGAAAAACTGGAAATGCAACCAACTTCTATGACTGAACTTTGGAGGTGTGGAAAAATATTTCTGCAGGCCTCTTTGAAAAACTGAAAGCAAGTCTCCTGAAAATAATGGAAGCTGTAATAAAAGCTGTAATAAAGAGTGCGCACACTAAATACTGAAATATTTTGTTGTTATGTTTGGTCATTGAGGCTTCTGTGTAATTTTCAGTCAAATTTATGTTTTCTGCTTTTTTCCTGACACAGAAAATGAATAACCTCTACCTAATGACTGTTTTGACTGAAATTAAGTAAATGAAAACTGGTCTCTGACTTTTGAACAGCACTGTATTAAAACCTAGACAACAATTTCATGCAAGACAGGGCAGCATCTTGTTGCACCTTTTGAGGATTTTCTTTTTTGTGCTCTAAAAACAAAATTGGCTGCTGTTCTAGTTCATTTCCCCTAACAATGCATAGGTTTATACATCACCATCCTGTACATGATAAACTTATGCACATACATGGTTTATCCTTACAGTAAATGGGTATTGTTCTTAAGGGGGGCATTTCCCCCATTTTGCCTTAATTTGTTTTACCACAGATTCTGTTGGTAACTATTGTAAATCCATGTCAGACAAACTGAGAGTGGCTATACTCACCGAAACACCAATTTAGAGAGTGCTTTATCATTGCCGTCTATCAAAATACCATCAATGCATCTAAATACAAACGGGTTTCCAATAGACTGGATGAGGATCGGCTCGTCTGCCTGATAGACTGTGCCTGTGAAAACAAAATAATCGAGTTAGCCTTAAAGCTGAACTACAAAACTAACCTGATGTGTATCAGCAAAACTCAACAGAACAGTTAAATCACATTTTAAGGAAGCAGAAGAAACATCATGGAGAATCACATAAGACAGACAAAGAGACAGAAGCCAGTTCAGTTTCACTTTTCATGTGAGAAAATTCCACATAACAGAGTTCATTTATGATCCGTCTGAGTGGCTTAAACTGAAGAACAGAAGGCGAAACTGTCATAAATAAAGGTTGAAAGCATGACTAAAGACCTAAAGACTTTCTGTCCTGTTGACTTGAACACTGAGCTAAAACAGTGGTCAGTCAAATTTCAGACTTTATGATTATGGCCTGTTTGTGGAGGTGAATTTATCTATATAGTGCTTTTAACAAAGGGCGTTGGCCTTAGATCCCTAAGAGGAAGAAACCCTGAGAGGAACCAAGACTCAAAAGAGGAACCCATTCTCCTCTGGTCAACACCAGTCAGCGAAACAATAACACAACAAGACCAGTATGAATAAAGAACGAAGAGTTGACAATGGAAAAGAAAAGAAATGTCAGTTGACAGCCATATTTAGATTAACCAGTTATAATCAATGACAGAAGTATTTAGATAACCAGCGATACACTATATGGACAAAAGTATTGGGACACCCCTCCTAATTATTGAGTTCAGCTATTTCAGCCACACCCGTTGCTAACACATGGATAAAATTTACACATAGCCTTGCAGTCTCGACAGACACATACTGGCAGTAGAATGGGTCGTACTGATGAGCTCAGTGACTTTAAACATGGCACTGTCATAGGATCTAACCTCTGCCACAAGTCAGTTTGTGAAATTTCTGTCCAGTTAGATCTGCCCCAGTCAACTATAAGTGCTATTATTGTGAAATGGAAGCAACAAGAAGCAACAATAGCTTAGCCACAAAGCGGCAGACCACGCAAACTCAGAGTGGGGCCGTCGAGTGCTAAAGCCCGCAGTGCCTGTCCTCTGTTGAATCACTAAAGAGTTCACTGGCTGAGCAGCTGCACACAAGATCAAAATGTACTATGCCAAACAGGGGGAGTGTTGTAAAGCACGTCACCACTGGACTCTGGAGCACTTCTTAATCTGGCATTCTAATGGACGAGTCTGGGTTTGGTGAATGCCAGGAGAACATTACCTGCCGGACTGCACTGTGCCAACTGTAAAGTTTGGTGGAGGGATAATGCCATGGGGCTGTTTTTCAGGGGTTGGCCTAGACCCCTTAGACCCAGTGAAGGGAAATCTTAATGCTTTGGCACCAAGACATTTTGGACAATTGTACACTTCCAACTTTGTGTGAACAGTTTGGGGAAGACCCTTTTCTGTTCCAGCATGACTGAGCCCCAGTGCACAAAGCAAGGTCCATAAAGGCCTGGCTGGGTGAGTTTGGTGTGGAAGAACTTGACTGGTCCTCACAGAGCCCTGACCTCAACCCCATCAAACACCTTTGGGATGAACTAGAACGGAGCTAAGGGCTCTCGTCCAACATCAGTGTCTGACCTCACAAATGCTCTTCTGGATGAATGGGCAAAAATTCCCACAGACACTCCAACATCTTGTAGAAGCTTCCCAGAAGAGTGGAAGCTGTTAGAGCTGCAAAGGGGAGACCAAATCCATATTAATGCTAAGGATTTGGAATGGGGTGTCATAAAAGCTCATGTTGGTGTGATGTCAGGTGTCCTAATACTTCTGTCCATATAGTGTATTAACCAATGATAACCAACGACAGAAATATCTAAATTAACCAGAGATAACCTATGCCAGAAGTATTTAGATTAACCAACGTTAATCTAATCTGCTAATCTAATCCGTTAAAATGAGTGTCAATGACAAATAGATTTATGAACCCCAATAACTACTGCTAGAAGCCCATCATGAAGACACCTTGGTAAGAATATGTAAAGAACTCAGTACAGTGTGAGCCAGGTGAACAGCGTCTCAGATTAAATAGTTCGAGTCAGAGTCTGTGCAGGGACCAATCTCACCAGGAGGGTGAGTATGACACGCAGATGAGGCTGTTTGCATAGATGGTCCTTGATGGTCGAATTGGTGCAAAGGGTCACTGAATTGTAGTAGTAAATCAAGACAACTGGACTTGAAGACTTTTTACCACAATGAAGCCCTTCAGACGAGTGGCACACCACAAGATTATACCCTAAATCCAGTTTCCTTGATTTACTACTACTAGACAACAACACTGACAGTCAAAAAGAACTGCTCACATCATACACTGAAATGTTTCTGATGCATTTATCCTGTCTGTTCACTTAAAAGAGTAAACCACAACAAGTGATGGATATTCCAAGATAATGCAAGATGCCACACAGTTCATTAAGTGAAACTCAGGCATAATTTAAAACTCATTGAGATCTTGTGGGGCTGTGTTAGGAAATTTGCTGAGAAGAAAAATCTAATCACTCTGGATGGTCTGTGGACAGCAGTGAAGAATGTGTGAGAAGTAATTCTTTTAAATCATTTAAAAACTTTGGTAAAGTATGAAAAAGCAGTGTGATTGTCTTCAAGACTAGAGGAGCTACACAATGTTGAAAAACACTATAATCTGTTAGTGTGCATTTCAGTTCATTTCAAGATACAGAATTATACAGCACTTTTTACAGCAGCCATTGTCAGAAACCATTTAGGCCGAGCCCTAAATGAGCAAGTCAACGGTGACAGTGGCATGAAAAACTCCCTTGAGAGGAAGCAAGAAACAAAATGGCATTGGCATTGCTTTTAAGAGTAGTCATTCTATGAAAAGTAGATCTATGAAATCCAGTCAGTGTTACTGTTACAGACACTGTTACTCTCACCGACTACTTTCATTTGTCGCTCTATCAGACCAATATAACCAATGTTACTGTTACAATCACTGTTACAGCAACAAATGAGAAACAGATCTACGAAAACCAGTCACTGTTACTCTCAGTGACTTCTGTCAATCACAGTAACAAATGAGAAATAAGAAAACCAATTTTCCTTCATTTTTCAGTGTGTTAATACTTGCAGTTGTGCAGTCCACACAGCAAATACACAAACATTCCCAATACCATTAGCCTACTCAACATCAGGTCAAAACTAGAATATAAGACTAGAGTTTCATTTGGCTCAGAATGAGCATCGCTAGCTCAATCCATGCACACTCAACAGAGGCCTCTAACCCCAGATCAGAGTGGATGCTATTCAGATGTGAGGAAAAACGTATTGATTTATTGATTTAAACTTGTCATTCCGCTGCATTTTGCAAGTAATCTGTGGCAAATCTGAAGCAAACTAGCTCATATTAAAAAAAATGTGAAGGACTGACGTGCTGGGTACGGCACCATTTGGGACTGGCGCCATGATGATTACAAAAAGCAGACTTTGAGCAGTTCTTTTTGTCAGCACTGCGTTGATTAGTTTTTGGCAGGCCATCTAGTCTCAAAGACAACCTCTTTTTGTCATACTTTCCTAAGGTTTGGAAGGTTGGATTTTTGTTTTCCACACACATTTCCCAATGTAGCCCCTCAAGATCTCAATAGATTTTATATTGTACCTGAATTTCACATAATTCTACTTACCTGTGTGGCATCTTGCATTGTCTTGTTGGTATATCCATCATTTGTTGTGGTTCTCTTACTTTAAGCGAACAGACAGGATAAACACATCAAAAGCTGAGCATGGCATATGTGCATGTGAGCAAATCCTTTTGACTGCCAATAGCAATTTGTCTGTCACAACTAACCACAAAACCTACTATTACCAATAATGTGTGAGGTCTTCAGGTCAATTTCAATAGTTCCTCTTGGATGCAGAGCTCTATGTTCGCTTTTAACCATGTAAGCATGTATGTCAGGTAACCAGCCACAGTGTCCAGTGGGTGAAGCAAATATACCAGTCAGATGTAAATATTTAGCCCCAGAAAAATGAAGAAAACAAACAAACAAACAAACAAACAAACAAAAAGATTTACAGATGAACTGGAAATATGTGATGAGCCGCACAAGTTTAACACCCCGATCAACAATGACAATTAGACTATCCTGACTGAGAGAAACAGTGTGACCCAAAACTCTGAGGAACCTTCATAAACATGGTGAGGTGTGAGGTACCTGGATACATTGCCACAGTTACACCTTTTGGCACCTGTCCTTCTGTAACGAAGACTCCTATTCCTGCTGTTGGGAGCGAGCTGGCCTTTCTCTCGATACAGAAGCCCAGTGTGTGCAGCATTGTGGCACAAGGAGCCATTTTTGGCATCCCTAACAAGTCATTTTGTGTCCCCAGGTACTTCTCCTGGGAGACGGCTGGGAGCAGGCGAAGCTGCTCCGTCTGTTTTCTCCAGTCATTCCTCAGCAGTGCGGTGAAAAGGCTCGTGAGGGTCCCCAGCACATCTGCATCTTCTATGGTTTTGTCTTTGGCGCGATCATGCACACGGCGAAGAGTTCTAAAAGGAGACCAATAAACACCATGAGGGAACCACAACAGCAAAAGTGCTGTAGCACTGCATTAATGAAATTCTATATCGCAATATTTTCCAGTTAAATCACAGTATCACTACATCAGATGATATTTAACTTTGTATTAATAAAGTTAATGAACCCATGCTTCCTGAGTATTGCTATTCTATGCTTAAGGAATGTTTACAAGCCTGACATAGCTTAGCTCATTTGTTTTGACCTGTTTTATTCTCTTGAAATTACACCAAAGGGAGACTTAAACTGTTCTGTAAACATAAACCAGATAGAAAGGAAATGTACTGGTTTTTGTATGCAGTAAACTGTCTTTTTGGACACCATGTGTAACAGAATTGTAAAAAAAACTACAGGTACTTCACTACTTTATGGAGTATAATGTTATTATGGATATAATACGTATTATGTATTAATATTTTAACACTGAAAATCAATATCAAGCTGTGTCATTATCACAGTACACCGATAACCGTGGTGCATCTCCCCACGTGGAGCATTTTGCTGAACTACTACTAGACAAAGCTCTGCTTCTGAGCGGGTTTGGATATTAAAAGAGAACTCCGGCCAAAATGAAAATTGTAACCATTGCTACATCTGCTGTAAACATGCCTATTCACCGTCTAGAGCAATGTTACAATAGACCAAAGAGTGAGATTTTCTAGTTTAAAGATGATGAAAACCCCCTGCTGATGATGAATCTTGAAGGTGGGAGGAACTTTTAAAAATCTAAAAGTGGCAGGAAAGTGGGCTGTATGAATTTTTTTTTTTGCCTGCTAGCTGGGTAACCCAACACACCCATATGGTAACCAGGAGTCAGAATTGACTTGATGGCACTTATGACAATAGCATTTATAGTAATAATAATAATAATAATAATAATAATAATAATAATAATAGATGGCTAGTGTAGATGGAACCCAGATAGCTGATGGTAAAGCTGAATATCATATCTGCATTTATTAGTCTTTACATGAGTGGAACATCAACGTATTCCTTAATTGTTGTGAGGAGGATTCCCAATGGTTTTATTATATATTTGCAGAATACAGTGAGTGAACAATCGTGAAAAATTGTGAACAGTCAAACCACTGAGGCTCAGGGATATTTTTCTGCACAACAGAACATTACATAACATGACAAATTACATTTTATTTACTAGGTTTAGGCCGGAATGCCACTTTAAATAGTTATTTTTATTCAGCTCCATGTATCAAGTACATTTTTCATAGATTAGCAGTTTTCAAATGGTAGTATTTCTCATCAGGTATAGTTTATTTGTACGGAAAACAGGCTTAAAATGTTTCTTTAGTAAAGACCAGGGGTCTATATAGAATTTGCGTGTGTAAATGATTTTTGCATGGTGAAGTGGTTCTTTATAGCGATGGTGAATGTGTTGCATGTGGTTCTACGTAGAACCTTTTCTTCTATTGTTACAAGCTTGACATCACAACAATAACAGAACCCTTTTTGGTTCTATATAAAACCAACACATTCTCCATCAGTCTTTAGAACTATTTCACCATGCTAAGAGTTTGAGTGTTCATGGTTCTATATAGAACCACTGCCTTTACTAAAGAACTCTTGAAGAACCATGTTTTTTAAGAGAGCAGAGCTTCAGCTGCTGAGCTTATGGAAACTGGATGAAGCTCCACAGCAGTTTTACAGTTTTATAGGGAACTCGACTAGCTGAGAGGAGATTTTTGACCTAATACTCTATTTAAGTCATTTTGGTCGTTGTTTCTCTGCTGTTTGCGTGTTTCTTTGACTGAAGTGACGGTAATTTTGCTGCAGTGTGGTTTTATTCCACTCTGCTTCTCTCTACACAGCAAACTGCTCATCAGGACAGTCTAAAGCAGCACTGCTGAAAAGTGAGAATTCAATAATACCTTTCATTTCTACGAAGATTTAAAACCATCCAGGGGACGAATCTGTGTCTGTATGATTTCCATCTCTCCTCAAAGAGCTTTAGTAGCTTTTTTCTCATAATATGCCATAAAAATGAACTAAAACCAGGTTAACTTAGGTTAGCACCATCTCTCCTATAAGGGTGACATGACTTCACTCTCTGCTTTACATAAATGTGCTCTGATCCCAAACGCATCCGCCATCGCCCCCTACTGGCTAGGAGAGCTACGAAGACTTTTATTTTTTAATCTTTAAATGTCTTAGCATTATATATTTTTATTTAGGTTAAATTGTTGTAGCATTGTGTTTGAATCTGTTTAATTTTATTTTTGTATTTCAAAAAATGTATCGAGAAAATCCAAACTTTTGTGCGAGATCTGTACAAATCTACATTGTATATTATATATTCTTATAACATAAATACACATTCTCTACAGAGGACACACTTATGTACAATTTAAAGTACAATTAACTATTTATTTGCTGAATTTAACATATATGTGTTTTGTGCACATTTTATATTTTATGTTTTATTTTTCTCTAATATGTTAAACTGAGCAAATAGATAAAAATTTACTAGCTTTATTAACTAGCCAAAGAGTTTGTTCCCTGTGAAGGATGCGTTGACTTATTTTCACTTATTTTCACAATTAATAAAGATATTCCAAACCTTTGCATACACACAGTGCAAAATCTAGAATGTTTTATTATATATATATATATATATATATATATATATATATATATATGTGTGTGTGTGTGTGTGTGTGTGTGTGTGTGTGTGTGTGTGTACATCCTAGATTTTGCACTCACACTAGATTTTGTGAAACTGCCCGTGTTAAGGTCTTTGTACAAAAAGGTCAGTTTTGTTATTTTATTCCTTCCACTGAAACACATATTCAGACGGCTCTCAGGTGGATTTGATCTGATGAGGCTTTTGCGCAAACCTATAGAGTCAGTGCCAGCTTGAGTGCACACTGCCATTAAAGCAAAAGGCAGACCAAGAAATGAGTTTAAAATTCATGTAAGCATTAAAATATTCTGCGTTTCACTCAAATTGCTATGCTGGTAATATCATTTGTGACTGGTATTTTTACTGATTGTCAGAATAAAACCTCTGTCTACCTGTAAGGTCAGTGTTTTCAGACAGGGCAACGTTCATTCTGTTCTGGTTTGCTATTAGTGACACTCGGGTTGCAAAACCACAATAATCGATTGCCGTTATGAGAAGCCTGGCTGCTCTATGATTGGTTAACACGACAGAAGGGGCGTGTGCGCGTCCTGTCCACCAATAGAGTGCAATAGCTCTGCGCTCAGTCCCCGCCCCCTCCGGCGGACTGCAGGAGATGGAGGGCGGCTGGTGTCGGTGCTGTGTGAGGGTTTGGACGCGTTCAGCTCCTGTTAGTGTGTTTGCTGGTCGATGCGAATGAATTAACCGGACAGTGTTTTTGTTTTTAAAATCTAAGTAGCCGTCATCATAGGCCCGCGCGCGAGCTCGCTGCCTCTCGCGTCGATCAGGATGGCCGGCGGCGGCGGCGGAGGAGGAGGCGGAGGCTGCCGCAGAGTGCGGGGCCCTGAGCTCCGGGAGCTGCTCGACTCGAAGCGCGACGTGCTGTTCGACTGTGACGGCGTGATCTGGAACGGCGAGGCGGCCGTGGCCGGCGCTCCGGAGGCGGTGAGGCTGCTGAAGCAGCGCGGCAAGCGCGTGTTCTTCGTCACCAACAACTGCACGCGGCCGCGGGGCAACTACGCGCACAAGTTCTCGCGCCTCGGCTTCGCCGACGTGTCCGAAGAGGACATCTTCAGCTCGGCGTACTGCTCCGCGGCCTACCTGCGCGACGTGGCGCGGCTCAGCGGCAAAGTGTTCGCTATCGGAGGCCACGGCGTGCTGCAGGAGCTGCGGGACGCCGGCGTGGACGTGGTGGCCGAGGACGGCGCCGAAGGGCCCGACACCAGCATATACGATTGCCCACTGGACCCGGACGTGCGCGCCGTGCTGGTGGGCTACGACGAGAAATTCAACTTCATGAAGTTGGCCAAGGCCTGCTGCTACCTGAGGGACTCCGAGTGTCTGTTCGTGGCCACCGACCCGGACCCGTGGCATCCTCTGCGGGGCGGGAGAGTCACACCAGGTGGGTCGGTGTAGCTAGATAGGCTGTAGAAATGCACCTGCAACAGTAGTTCCCTACACACACTTAAAAAGATGGTTCTTCAGTGGTTCTTTAGTAATGATTCTGTTGAGTTCTGTATGAACCATTTAATGTTTAAAGAGGAACTCCACTAGCTTTTCAAAATTTCTAAGTAAATAATGGTTAAGATTGTAAACAAAGTCTTTCAGAGTGGTTTGGTGTGAAATGCTCCGTGTTTGAATCTGTTCAGGGTACATGCAGGACATTGTAAGGCAAAATAGTCCCCAAATAAACTTAATTTTTTGAGATCTCCCATTATTTTACCATCAGTATTACATATGAAAACACAGAAGACGTGTAGCTTCACTGGTTGTTTAAATGAAATGGTTACATTCTGTAAGTTGCTCTACAATGAACCATTTCACGTCAAACCACTCTGAATGAATCTCAAGGACTGAATTATTCAGAAATTTGTGAAAAATTGGTGGAATTCCCTTTCAAATGGTTATTTGCATGGAGAAATGGTTCTTCAGATTTATGGAGAATGTGTTGGATATGGTTCTAAATAGAACCTTTAGAAAGTGGTTCAGTGTAGCACCAAACAGGGTGGTTCTACTATTATGATGTAAAGCTTGCAACAATGGAAGAACTCTTTATGGTGTTTATGGCAAAAAGTACCTCATCATTGAACTTACTGCTCCAGGAATATTGTTTGATCACATGTACCTTATGTATGAATCGTATCATGCTTTGTGTTACGTTTGTCTGCCACAGAGCTGTACGTCTACTCGCACAATCTACAGTAGTGTCCACTCAATCGCATTTGAATTGCTGAGTGGTCTGTAGTGGTGGATGTTGACTAAATGGCTCTCTTTTGTCCGAGCTTTTCAGGAACATGCAGCAGCTACAAAGGGCCGTTTCAGTAAATGTCAGCGCATGGCTTATGTGGATGGAGCAGACGGGCTTTGACAGCAGACACTCTTCTTTCGTGTTCACAGGTTCGGGGAGTCTCACGGCAGCTTTGGAGACGGCCAGCAGCAGGAAGGCCACGGTTATCGGCAAACCCAGCCGCTTCATGTACGAGTGCATCGCGAGTCAGTTCGACCTGGACCCGGCGCAGTCCCTGATGGTCGGCGACCGCTTGGAGACTGACATTCTCTTTGGCGCCAACTGTGGCCTTTCCACGGTGCTCACCCTGACAGGCGTGTCGACCATGGAGCAGGCGCAGGAATACAAAGACAGCGAGTCACCAGAGAAGAAGGACTTTGTGCCTGATTATGTAGTCGAAAGCATCGCAGATTTCTCTGAGGCTTTGGAGGACGAGTGAGGACTGTTCAAGGTGTTTTGTTCATATTGTAATGAACCTCAGAGTGCAAGAGAGACCTCAGCCTGGCACACAAACAAATAGTTACTATTTTATGTCCAGTCTTAACCCCAATACTGTTGCTCGTGGTGTACAATATAGCTATGTGTCAACATAGTTCGGTTAATATTATCTTATGAATTTCCAGTCCATCAATGTATTTGATGACATGGGTATACCATGTATTTGAACTACCGCACCACATCTTAAACTTTTTAGGGACATTTCCAAGCCTGAAGGTCAAACACAGCTGTAAAACAACGTTAGAATGAAGTTTATTCATCATCCTGGCTGGATTCGTCTTCGAAAACTTGGCAAACATTTTCATGTTATTGAAGAAGCTTTTTGGGGTTAAAGAAATGGCATGACAAAATAAAGTAGTGCTTCGGGCAGTGTTATGTACATGATTACACTTATTTTGTTTCAGCTGTATAAAAAACTACTGAAATGTAATTTTATCAGAGAATGTATTACAGTGCAGGATGAGACGATGGCATCTCCCCAAGAAGTTAAAACAGTAGCTAAAACACTGATTTTGCACATCTTCAAAAATTATATAACCACTAATAACTTGATTCATTTGGTTATTAGTGATTACAGGCAGTCAGTATGAAAAAATGATGTCCTGTCTATATACTCAAATGCACCAATTTTTATGGCCAATTTTAATAGCAGTATTTCTACAGCCAAATTGGCAGATGGCTGATTTTTATTAGTCTTTTTAAAAGTGAATACATTAAACACATTAGCATATTTCCAGTATTTTTATTAGTGAAAGCTAATAACATTGATTGCTCCTTAGTGGGCCACAATGCCATGTTAAATTTGTAAAATAAAAAAAAAAAGTTCCCTACTTAAATAATATTAATCATTTGCATTTATCTGGTTTATGTTATTTCCTAGATGTGTAATGATTCACAAAATTCATTATTTGATAAAGTAAAAATAACGAGTGGCTGAAAATGTGCCCTACATTATGCTAATGTGTTCATTTTCAGTTTATCGGAGTGTTAAAAATTAAAATACAATATTTGAAACAAAATTTATACTTTATAGTGTCCCAATCTAACGCTGCCAAAAACTAACATGCTAGTCACAATACAATGATACAGTACAATATGTTGTAATGTTACTACCTTATTTACAATGAAATACAATTGCAACACAGATTGGCCAAAAAAGAAAAATCCTGATTGCATGTTTGGACCAAAAAAATCTGCCCACAATCTGGCTTATTCAGATTGTGCATCCCTACTATATACAGTATATTGTGTGAACTGTCACTACCAAACTCCACTATTATGTGATTCATTAAAGCTGCACTATGTAAGATTTTTTGTTAAAACTGAAAAGTAGCATCACTGAGTCAGGAGAAAATAAGCACTGTAAAATATGCTGCTGTGAGTCGCGCTGTAAAGCCTGAAGTAGTCATTTAAAAGTCAGAAGCGTTGGGTCAGATTTCACTGGAATTTTTCAGGTAACGTCATACGTCTTTACGTATTAATGTCACACGCACAGACTCAAAAAGAAGATCCGGCTCGATGTTTAAGTCTCAAATGCAAAATCAGCATTATACTTAAGATATGATGATATTAGTAGATAATTCACTCACATCCTCTGAAGACACATGCTTCACCAAGTTCTGACTGAGTTCTCTTTGAATACTCTTGCACTCGCAGTTGTCAGATTCATCCGCTCGGTTAAGAAGTCTAAACCACAACCGACGTTACAGTTTTGTCCTCTGCATGCAGTTACACAGTTCAATCAGAGAGGTCTCCAAATCTTACATAATGTAGCTTTAAAATGGCATAATTTGTATTGCTATTTTAACAAAGTCACAAGTCCCAACAAAATGAATCAAGTGACAATCAAATTGTTTTCTAACTGGACAACTGACGACACTGTATTACACATTACTGGTACTGTAATATACTTTCAACATGTTCTCTTGTCTGTGTGGGTTCTAAGAATAACTTTAAATGAACACCAGAGGTAATGACTGTGTATTGTGCCAATTTAATTAACATGAAGTGGCTGGTCGGTCAAAGTATGGTATAAGATGACTTCACTGATTTAGCTTTTCTCACAAATGTGTTGTGGTTGGTGCCAAATTTTTTGTCATGTCATTAAAGGTGCAGTGTGTAAGATTTAGGGTGATCTTTTAACAGAAATAGAATATAATATTTAAAACCGAGCTGTCAGTAAGGTATAACCACCTGTAACTATGAATCATTGTGTTCTTGTCAGCTTAGAATGAGTCCTTCATATCTGCAGAGTGTGTCCTCTTCCAACAGAGGCCGCAATGTTGCTCCGCCATGTTTCTACAGTAGCTCAGAACGGACAAAGCAAACACTGACTCTAGAAGAGTGCCTTTCACGTTTTTACATTGAAGCGGCAGCTTGAATTTGGTGGCGCTGTAGAACTGGTTGGAAGCCATAGATAGAAGAATAATCAGTGGTTGTTGCTGGTGCTGGCTAACTAGTTTGTGTTGTGAGAAGTTTGAGAACCCAAATTTTGACAAATGGAGCATCATACTTATTATTTAGCACAAGAAAAAGTAGGGGAGGGTGAATCCTTTTCTGTCTAAGAACCTAAAACAAGGCGTCCACCATAGGTTCTACTACACGCTTAGAAAATGAGGTGTGAGGGAGGGGTATTCAGTTGGTGGCAGTCTGCAACCTCACTGCTAGATGTCACTAAATCTTACACACTGCACCTTTTAATGGTTCTGGAATTTTACTAATTCATTACATTCCTGCATTGTTTTTTTCACAAAAGTGGCCTTCAACATCAGAATACTTTAGACATATTTCATTTAAAGCATTCCTCAACGATTAGCAATACATGCTCTAGGATCATTCTTTGAGTCACTAAAACAGAATTCAGATGTCTTTCATTAGACCCTCAATGAAAACTTGCCCCATGAAAGCGCTGAATGTTTGATTCTGTATGAACGATGATCTAGTGCAGTGGTTAAGGGAGAGAAATTGTAACTAAAATGCTTGTGATACTGTTATTATTAATTACATTTAGTGCTAAGTGTTCAGTACAAACTGAACAGGTGTGGCTTACTTGTGGACAACCTGGAGCTTGGGTGACTTTTTAGTCATTGTTCATTGTCTTTAGCTAGACACTGCATTCTGTACCTAAGGGAATATGTTTTTTCAGATGAGTATTTAAATAAGGGAATGCCAAACATCTCTGTGTGAATACTGTATACATACTGTGAACTGATTTGGCGTTTAGTATTCATGTAAGTGGTGTAAATTTGCCTTTTTAATTAAAATTTAACTTGAATCTTGAAGTGGTTTTTTTCTGTCTCATGGAAAGTCTACAATCTCTTCACTCTGGTGTCTAGTGCTTTTTCAATGTGGCAGCCCCCCAGGACAGTGGAGAGGGGTTCATCTGGCCTTACAATTGGACAATGCCTGTCTCAAATCAAACACTGTTCAATAATTTCATTTGAATGTCCAGCAAAAGTATTTCATAAAGAACTAAGCAAAATCAGAATGAGGGGTTCTCTAAATTACACTTTTGATAAATATATTGTTGCTGTAAAAAACAGCATGAATGTCCAAAAAAGTCATTTTACAGGAGAATGCAAAAACATTCTTAGCTTTTAATGTAAGTTAGTGTAAAGGGATTTTATTCCAAGTAACTTCATCATGAAATAAGTAAATTCATTATGAAATGTTAAACAATATGAAGCTGCTGTGTTCCAGTAACATAGAAAAATTGGAGAATGAATAGTTTGTTACTTGCAAACTTTTATAACCAAATTAGCACATTTAAAAGACATTTCACTCAAAATGCTAAGGCTATCTTAAATGATTAATTATGGTTAACATAAGTGGTTCATGTCACATCAACTGTATAATACTAATTGATGTTTTGCAGAAAAGTACTTCTCTGTGATGGCTTGACACGCACCCTGAATAATAGGAACTAAATGCACACTACTTATGGTTTACAATAATAATATACACCAAAACTGAAAGTAAATAAAAGCTAAAAGGCTAACGTAGCCAACAAAGGGGGTAAAAGGCAAAAGTGTGGACTAAATACAGGCTTCAAGATGGCTGCTACTACTGTTTTTGGCTGTATTTAGCTTTTGTCCACTTTTATGGTTAACAGTTTGTCATACAGAGTCAGAAACCACATAAGCAGGTCTATTTTAGATCACTTAACAACTTGACATGGTTTGAGGCAAGTGTGTGATGATTTAGCCTGATTTAGCAAGATGCTAACTCATCACACACTTGCCTCAAACTGTGTAGTTTCCATTACTTGCTAGCTACATTAGCCTCATAGCTTCAGTTCAAATCTAAAGAAGTGAACTTAAGACACCGAACTTGTCTTGGCTGATTTCATTTGGGGTAAGATAGGAAAACGGCACAAGAGTCAATCCCAAAAAGAATCACTCCTCGATTCCAGGAATGTGGGAATCCAGAATCGACACCAAACCGCTGGAGTGAGGTTCAGGTTTACCTACACCTATGTGCACAGGGAAATATTCTACTGTCATTGTCTAGTGGAAAACAGAGTAAAATATAAAAATTGTAGTGAAAAATTGGTATACAACATTGTCAGTGCTCTTTGTAGGAGTTGACAGAGGAGAATCAGGTACAACTTAACCAGCCCCCGTTAGTCAGCTAAGCTAACTTAGCTGGCGTCAGCTCTTCAAATTTCCTTGTTAAGGTTAAAATATAATTCATGTTGTACGCTTCATTTTTGCCAGGCTTCTCTGTCTTAGTTTTTATAATTATTATTATAGAGATTATTGAGTGAAATTAACTTTTAGACATTAATTTTTGTCACTTGGAGTCAATTCCAAAATGTCTGAAACCAAACAGCCCTAGAAAACATTAAATTTGAGGTTTTACCAGAGCCGGTTTATCTACGAGTTCTGCGGTTTTACCAGAGAACTTGTAGAGAGGAGAATTACCACTCTGCAATGTCCTCCGGGTCAGACACTAGAGGGCGCTCCCGAGTGAGTCCAAAATGAATGGGTTGATATGGAGCGTTTGAGCAAAATCATAGTTTATAAATGCTTAAACATTTTTCATGTAAAAGAACACATTCATTTCCTGAACACAGAACAGCATAAAACATTTTAACACTGCTGTTATATTTTAAGAGCTTTAAAACTATAAATACATCCTTCTACTTTCTAAAATTAAAGAAACATTCTGGGCGAGTGATTAGAAACTATTTTAACTTTGCGTTTTTAGCCGTTGAGCACCATTTACTCCCATTCATTGAGGACTCACTCGCGGGCGCCCTCTGCTGTTTAGCAGGCCTGTTTTTGATATAACGGGGGAATAGGAAGTGGCCAGGCTCCTCATAAACCGGCTCTGGTTTTACCAGGCAAGTACAGAGGCAGAAGTCTTGCTCTGCTCATTAGTGATCTCTAGTGGCTTTGAGTTTCATATCACAGATGAAGCATAATGATGGGATAAAGATGTAATAACGTGAATAAAATGACACAAGGTGAATTAAAATGAATAAAATTTTATAAAAATTATATATATATAAATAGACAAAATATACAAATATATATATACTGATGTTACAGTAAATTACATGGAGAAATTCTTCATGTGCTCATGTCCAAATTCACTGCTGCTGTAGGATTTCAATTTCAGATGGCAGCTTCTGAAGCAGAAAAACACACAAGGAAGACATGTTACTGTAATCACACACACATACACACACATTACAGAGTCAGCGCACTCAGTGTTACACACTCTTTACCTGCACTGTATTCAGGTGTTCACCTGTAATGTCCTGCAGCTGCTGTTTGTCCTTCACAAGAGAAAAAAACAATAATTTTAAATATACAATCCAGTACACTGTAAAAAGATGTTTTATCTTAATAGTATCTGTAAGTAATAGTAAGTAGTAATACAGTAATAATAGTAATATAGTACTAATATTAAGTAACCTTGCTGCCTTAAAACTTGGAAATACCCACTTTGCTTGCATATTATTATTATTATCACTTTTATGTGTGGTTTTACATTCCAAAAGCAATCAGAATTTCATTTTCATCATGACCATTTTGCAATTTCTCTTTAGCACTAATAATTAATCAGGCTATTTTTGTTACTGTGTTTTAAGACTGATATATGTAAATGTGCTCTGCTCTCATTGGCCTGCTGTATTGTGTTTCATTCAAAAAGCTGTTTTCGGCTGAAAAACTCATAACTTGTGTTATGAGTTATGAGTGTGAGTGGGCGGGGCTAACCTTTTGTAGGCCAAATTGGCAGACGTATGTAAATATGCTGGTTTTCATGACATCACAAAAACAATGGACTGTTTTGACAGCTTAGTTTCAGTATATATACTGTATGGACTGGGCAGTGAATTTGTTATGAAACTTTAACAATGTTTACATACCTGCATCAAACTTTTTTCCTTAAAAAAAGGAAGAAAATTCAGTTTTCTAGATTTTCCATGATATGGGCCTTTAACATATTATTAAAAGTTTAATATACATCTAATTCTAAAGGCAGGCAGGTTCTTGTTTAAGTTAAAACAAAAAAATCATTGTAAAATGTATTTGAAATAAGATATTTGACCATTTAAAAACCAAAGCAACATCATAAAACTTACTTTCTTGATGAGTTTTGTGTTTTCACGGGTCTTTCTGTAAACCTCGTTGAATTTATTCTGTGAATAAGACAATTATATTAGCAGTTAAAATGTTTCAGTAGGTAATGCGGTAATAATAATGCTGAGTAATTGATTAGACTACAGGCTACATTCTGTTCACACACACACACACACACCCTACCTGCAGAGAGCGCACCATGTTCACAAGCTGAATACAAACACAAGATTTTGTCTCCGATGTAAAAAGAGGCTAACAGCTCCACACACCATATTCGACAGTTCAATGGATTGATAAGCTGTTTGAAGTTATGGAGCATCTAAAATTTAGCCTGCTAGCATGGCAACAGGCTAATAGTTTGATGTTAACTTGGACAGGTCATCGAATAGAGGAGCTGTTAGCCTGCTAGCTAAGCTAATACTAGCAAAGCAACAAGCTAACAGCTCCACACACCATCTTAAGTAGTAGAGAGATATTAATGATGTACTTTTTGGTGTTTCTCTGTGACTTTGTTCCTTAGTGTAATACTGAGTCAAAAACTGATGTGTCTCCTTCAAACAAATGCAATACAAATGAAAAAGAAATGCAGTACAGTGTCATGCGTTATAGAGTAACGTTAATGTAAAACACACATAAAGGTGCCAAATATGGGGATGGCCTTGACCAATTGTGTGGCTGTTGCTAAGTGAAATTAACACACTGCTTGAAAACGATTGGCCACATTTTCTCCAATCAAAAACTTAAGTCACCAGGTTTAGTAAACATGGCTAACATAACACTGCCTGCTAATGCAGTTCAGGAGCTAATTTTAAATCCATCTGAGAGAATTCATTAAAAAAGATCAAATGCTAACATTTAACACACAATTCTGACATAATTCCTATTTAAATAGGACAAAGCCCAGTTTCGGTGAGTATCAAAGGAGTTTAATAATTGCATGCTTTTGTATTTTCACGTTTACAGTCTGGTAAGTTTATCACTGCTGTATGTATTTTCATTATTCTGGTTTTTATCATCTTTAGCTCTGTGACTAAAGGTCTTTATCTGTTGGCAGGCCATCCTGCTAGACTTCCATCATCTTATTTTTAGAGATTACATACGTTTAGTGTTATTTGTTGAATTCTGTGCTGCGTTTTTGAACAAGTTGGTTGCGAAAGGGTTTAGATGGTCTTGTGCTGTTTATCTCTAGGTTTGTGTGCTTGGTGCTGATAATATGTGCTATCCTGCTTTTCTGTCATGTGTTTCGCTCATCTGGCTTGTAACTGACTCTCACTTAAAGGAATGGGTTGGTGAAAAATCTAATTTACACAATTTTCCTCTTACCCCAGATGTAGAGGGAGTCCTAATTTTGCTTCCTTAGTTTAGAACTGGAGCCATGAGGCTAGCACTAGTTACAAACACTAGATTGTCACCCAAATAGCCTAAATCACACATCCACCCATCCACACACAGGCCCTTCTTGCTGTGAGGTGACAGCGCACTGCGCCACCGTGCTGCCCCATTGCCTAAATCTTTTCCGTGAAAATACATCACCAAGACTTCTTTCAACGACGCTAACTGCATAATGATGTGAGCAGCCACTTTAGACGACAGGGACTGTATTCACAAACCCCCTCAGGAGTAGGAGTACTGATCTAGAATATTTGTGGAAATTGACCATCAGGAATCTGATCTAAGATCAGTCCTGCTTTGTGAAGACCAGCTGGTTGTCCATAACAGAGTTCTTCTTTATAGCTCACAATAACTCATTCTGTGCTCCAAATCATATTGACAAATCTCTGCGACCTTAAAGATGCAGTATATGATTTTAATTTAAAAAAAGAAAAAGAAGCTGACTTTAGCGACATTAGCTGTTGAAAGGCATATAAAAGAAGAAGTTTCTCCTGCTTAACAGGTGGGTCACATTAACTTGTTTTTACTGTTTCACAGAACTAATAAGTCAGTACTGTTTTGTCCCGGTTGCTTGTTGTAGCAACTGGCTAGCTTCACAGCAGCAACTGTAGCGACAGTTTGCCAACCCACAAGCTAGTTAGTGTTACATTTCTTACATTACTTATTCAAACTTAAACAATCGTTCTCCAGAATCATAGACTGTGCCTTTAATGAATATTTGGGGTTTGAGAGACGTTTCGGTGATTGATTTTTACAGAAATTATTTGGGCTATTTGGGTGACAACTGAGTTGTAGTGTTTGTTAGCAGCATCAGACGTTTAGTTCCAATTCTAATCTAAAGAAGCAAAATTTAGACTTGCAGTATGTCTTGGCTGAGCACATCTGGAGCAAGTGGAAAATTGCTTAAATTAAATTTTTTTGTCAAACTATTTCTTTAAGTTATCATGCTGAATATACTCTACAAGGCAGTGGTATAGGCAGAAATAAACTGTTGGTTATGCCTGTGAAAAAGTTGTTAGGCTAACTGGGTATATACAATTTCCAAACGCACTACTGTCCCGCAGTGTCATTACATCAGGCTATAGCCAATTCCTGACAGCCATGCAGTCATCACACTACTCCAAAGCTTTCATGCCAATAAAAAACAATAGCAGTAAACTAAATAGCTGGATTCACATAAACACAACCAACACTGCAGCACACTTCAGTATAAAGTATACGCGTCTTCTCACCACAGGCACGACTTCTGCCCAGAGAAGATGACAAAACTAGGTTAAAATCAGACAACCGAGATGCACAAAGGCAGTAAAAAACACTGCAAACTTCAAAACCCAAACCTAATTATTGTGGGCAAAAGACTTTTTAATTTGAAATTTTCACAAAGCCCATGTCAGCCGCTGTAGTTAAAGAGCAGTGTAAGTACCAAATTCGCAGAAAACTGAAGCTGATGATGTTTTTTTAAATTTGTCTTCTGGTGGCTATAAAACCATATACTCTACGGCCCATGCGCCAAACACAACGCCCACAGGCCGAGTTAGGCCCTTCACACAGTCCTATTCAGCCCGCGAATATATTTTAATTTTCTATTCTTATTAGCCCGTTTCACCCTGAGATGCACTACAGTTCCCAGCATGCACTGCAACACTGTGTGCTTTTTGATCCCCTATAACAATCTATGGGCCAGCGGTTACACAAAAAGAAAAGATGCCTGGTGTCTAGTTCAAGCAAATAGGCAGATAAAAAACCAATTTATTGTTATTTACAATTATTTTTGAGTAAGTATTCATTGCCTATTTTGCTGTTGCAGTTTTGGCATATTTTGAATAAGCAGTGGCCCGTTCAGTTCATGGCAAAATGTTAACTAAAAATGAAATAAAAACACAGCTGACCCACAGATTTTCTGGCCCCTTTAGTGGTTGAGTTTGACACCCCTGATCTGTGGGACTGAATCTCACTTTTAAACTTCTCCAATTTTATCTTTTAACCGCAACTGGAGCTTCGAATTCAAACACTGGCACAACCAACTGCAGAGTTGAGGAAATGGTGGATAGCAATGGTTGCTAAGCAGTGATTGTAAGACTGAGTAAAAGAAGGCGGAGCTTGGCGCAATGTTTTGATTGGCCATAATTCAGTGACAGCACTCACAGAAAACAAATCAATTTTCATCACCTTAAAATGCACTTAAAACTTTAAATAACCTTAATATAATTACATGAATTATGCCGAATTAATAAATTATTAATAAACTCAAAATACTCACTCATGACCCCCCACCAACAGTCTTTAACTCGTGTCGGCGACCATGAAAACACACACACACACACACACACACAGAAAGTGTTTTGTTTTACTCTCCTCACAATCGTCGCCGATTTGAAAAACAACTGTAGCGAGAAAGAGAGAACTTAACTTACACACTTTCAGTAACATTAAATTCATAATAATCATTATGAATGAATAATCACTGTAATCATAATGACGCAGTGGTGGAGACTAAACAGTTTTAACCTGTATGATCATCATAATAACGCAGTGGAGGAGACTAAACAGCTCTCAAAGAAACATTCACTCACTCACAGCGCTCGTTTAATTAAAGAGCTGATGAGGCGCTGAATTGTAGCGGCAGAGCGCCCCCTGCTGAGCGCTTTATTAATGACTGAAACATAAACACTGGAGTTACGGTTTGTGCTCGACAGGCGGCGCTGTTGCAACAACAATGATATTACTGCGCAAAATAACTGTTTATCTCAAAAGTGAAAGAATGAATGAATGAGTTTATTTATTTATTTGTTTGTTTATTTATTACAATAACATTAATATTGTTCTTATTTTTAGTCGCATTAACAACAACAACAACAACAGTAATAATAAAGTTTCATATATAACAATCGTATAAACATATAAAATTAACATATATTTATAATATTACTAGTCATAACAATATCAACAATTTTTAGTAATAGTTGTGAATAGTAAATAGTAAGTAGTCTAATAATAATAATAATAATAACAATAATAATAATAATGGTAACAATAATAACAATAATACTCACTCTCAAGCAGCTCAGGTGTTAAACTGAGCCTGAGTGAACCAGTGTAATGAAAACACTTAATCATGTCTGTTTAGCCATAATGCTACAAAAGTGAGCATGGTGCAGGTGTTTGGAAGCTGGTATCTTGGTCAGCTGGTCAATTACTGAACATATAGCTTTGCCTAACTATGAAGTTTTGTCTACTGTTTTGCTAAATGTTTTCAAATGCACACATTTGCACCTAGCTAGCTAGAACACAATAATTAGTTTTGCTAATCAGAGTTCAGTTGGTTAGTTATTCATGTTAGGTAGGAGTTTACAGTAGTTTGAGAAGCATGTTTCCAAAATCTGATTGGATGGCATTGAACATAGCAATGAAGTGTTGCACAGGGTTTTCACGAGTTTTCAGTATAAACTGTATTGTGGAAGATGATCCAAGCAAGAAGGAAGGGGTCTTGAGGTCAGCTGGGTGGCCTTATTGACTGGAACAGTTCATTCTGCCAATTTAAAGGCTTTAGTCTGAATTTCATTTCTGTCAGAAAATAATCAGAAGATGTCTTAATGTCATTTTGATGCCACAACTTTCAAACAAGGAAGAAAAAAGCCAAGTACATGATTTGATTTAAGCCATCCAGACAGAGGCAGATAAACATATTCTAGAGTGTTTCATTAGAGTATTCATTGGATATATTAATTCAGACTGAGCAATAGTTGCATTCATTCAGAATGGGCACTGTTGGTTGTTGTTTGGGCTCAGTGGTGGTCTTAAATATAGCCCTAATATTAAGTCAAAATTTTGAGAACATATGTGGAGGAAGACCTGCAACAGTTCAAAACCTGAAATTACTTCACCATTTATGAATAGGAATAAAGGAACAGACAGGACATTTCATTAAGACAGAAACTACCTTTTAATAAGTATAAGGTGGGCACATAACAGCATAATATTGAAAGTGTTAGGCTAGTGAGAACAATATATGTCTGAAATACCAATTTAATGGTAAAAATCCATTTTTGAAGAAATATAAAGTTAAATGCATGTAAATAAAATTTACATACATTGAATTCGGATATTGCTGTTGTTCATTTACAGAAATACAATGTGTACTATTCACAGAAGGAGAACAAATTATCAGCTTTATTTCACAGTCAGTTTTGTTTATTTAAAAATTTGCCCGTTATTATTAGTGAAACTATATTACTCAAATACAGTAAAAGGCAATATTTACAGATTTTTACGATCACTGAATGAATGACAGGTTTTGTCTGGCACCCAAGCTGCTATATATATAGTATAAGTAAGATATATTCAGAATCATTTTAATGGAATAACTACATGAGGATCAGAAAGCGAATACATCATGGAGAATTAAATTTGTGCATTAAGATAGAAATAAAACAGATAATGGACGGGTCTTAGTTGGTAATGTAAATCAGTTTTTACTAGAAGACCACAGGATTGATATTGATAGAAAACCTTCTCCATATGTAACAGTAGATCTCCTCACTTAAACCATATATTTGCTCCCCATCTTTTTCTTATGTATGATTTGCAGTACGGTCTTTGCTCTGGGCAAGGCACAGTACTTCTTTCCCTTATGATGCAACCTGGAATCAAAAAAAAGATGGTTTAGTTTCACAAATATGTTTGCATGTCCAGTCTTTGCTTTTATCAGTACTACCCATTTCAGGTTTCAGTATTAAGTGTTAGTTGCTAAAGCACGACAATAATGAATGCTGTTTGTTAGGAATATACATTTAGAGTGGGCAATTTTCAGAGACCACCCTTCACTTATTTAATTTCCAGTCGAAACAGCCTTTAACACATTATTCATTTTTAGGAGATGCTTCTGAGGAGATTAGATATAAGATAATCCAAATATATAAGGAAAGGGAAAGTCAACGCAAAATAACTGAAAATCAGGACTATCCAAAGCATCCAAAACAACCACCTGCAAGACCTAGTAGACCACCAAAGCTATCCCCATCAGATAAACAGCACTTAAAGCTTTCATCTTTGAGAGAGAGGAGAAAATCAAGCTCCACTCTTGCTTCAGATCTGAAAAAATCGATGTTTTTTATGTCCATCCTTCCACTGTGAGAAGACAACTCTGGGGCTGAAAGGATTTGTAGCTGTCAAGAAGCCTTTACTGAGAAAAGGAAATGGACTGACCACCCCAGAGTCCAGACCTCAACATCACTAGATGTGTTTGAGATTTCTTGGATTGTGAGAAGAAGAAAATGCAACCAACTTCTAAGACTGAACTTTGGAAAATATCTCTGCAGATTTCTTTGAAAAGCGTCCTGAAAAGAATGGAAACTGTAAGAAAAGTAAAGGGTGGACATATTAAATACTGAATATTCTGATATTGTATTTAGTTGTTGAGGCTTCTAATTTTTTTGCAAAATATGTATTTTCTGCTTGTGCTTTGAGGCCATTTTGACTGGAATTTAAACACATGACAGGTGGTTTCTGCACAGTACTGGGTTCTCAAGTTTGAATAAAAGATATGGCTTCATGACAGTTTTATGAATTTAAGCAAGTAGTGTGTAAACATGTATTTAAAATTCATAAGAATTTCTTATCATGTTGGGAAAAATGACGTATTTCACTTACTTCCAAAATACATTATTTAAGACAGTAATTCTTAAAATATCAGCTAAATAAAATAAATTATAGAAAACACCACAGTAGGTAAAGGGGAGCACTCACACCAGTATAGAGTTTGGCACAAACCATACATGAATACAGTAGTATTAAGCCTTTCAGTGATAAATCCTGATGTATAATTGGTGTCAATCAGGGCAAAAATTAAAAGCAACATCAGGTGAACTCGAAACAAACACTGCTTTGTAGTGGACTTTATAAGTGCTCCACTAAACCGGTCAGGTAATTAGTAATTAGCATCATTCAGTGTCACATCAAAACTCACACCACGGCATCGATCTCACAGGCTCCATTCCGATTTTGGACATCAAACTTCTCCACCTCCTGCAGTATGGATAGAGGGATGCGGGAGGTTTGAACGCAGCATGTTGGAATGGCACCTGGGATTGGAACCAGTTCACTCATGAGAAGCATGTTAACTCACAGTCAGTGTTGGGCAAAAAAAATTTGAAAAAGGCAAAAACATTTTTTTTTTTTTGTAAAATTCACCCATCATTTGAATGAACTTCCAAAAATTAAGTTCTCAACTATTTTTTTTCTTTCTCATCACCTGCTTCATTCTACTGCTGCTCCCAAAATCCACATGAGTCCAGTACAACACTGAGGCTTGCAAACATGTCCACTACTGAGGAGACTGATAGTTTGATCATTCCTCATAAGAGCTCAATAATGCTGAGATTAATAACTGATCATCACATTGATTTATCAGTCTACTCAGCCTTTAGCAGAGCTCAGTAACGCTGAGATTAATAACCGATCACATTGATTTATCAGTCTACTCAGGCTTTAGCAGAGCTCAGTAACACTGAGATTAATAACCGATCACATTGATTTATCAGTCTACTCAGGCTTTAGCAGAGCTCAGTAACACTGAGATTAATAACCGATCACATTGATTTATCAGTCTACTCAGGCTTTAGCAGGAACTTTAGTGTTTGGAAGGAATCTGTAAATTGAGGCCCTCTTTAGAGTTTGTATAACAGGCATGTTGGCTACACACTATGCGCTGATTTTAAAGTTTTTCAAAAAAGTTCAACATTTGTTGTTTTTTACATTCAAAAATATTAAACTTATTTATTTTTTCATTTACTGCGTAAGTATTCCAAAAATATTCTTGCAAAAATGTAAAAGGTACCTGTACTCTGAATATTGTTTTTACAAAATGTAATATGGGCTTAATACACATACTTCATTTCTTAATTAAGAATTTAATTTCTGCATTCTGAATACATATTTCCAATACTTGTATTCCAACACATCCCATCACAGTTTAAGTAAATAATTGTAATTATAATTAAGTAATAGCTACTGAAGATTACTGTCACATTGTTGTTTCCAACCTTCCCTGTAAAATAGAGCATTTCTAGAATTTAAAGAAAAATAATTTTCTTCCAATAATGAAAAAAATTCTATCCTACTTCACTCAACAAAGGTTTACAATGTCAAAAGCTCAAACTAGAACATGCCAGTGTTCAGGAAACTCTTTCGTCTGGTGTATTAAGCCATATCTGTAGCCCTTAATTTACCTTGGACGGAGGTGAAGGCGATGCACAGGACCAGCAGAAGCACTTTGAGATCCATTTGGATGTTTCAGCTCTGAGTCAGATTCCTGTTAGCCACACTTCAGTGTTAAAGGATCCTGCCCGTCTGTGATTTCGCACTGCTTTTATGTGCAGAGGGGAAGCCACACCTCTCAAACCATGCAGAATACCTGCAGAATATTCAGTAGGCATCAGCCTTTATAGACTGTTTTTCCTGTTTTACTCCATTGCTCATCTAGTAGTGTGTCTTATTTACTGGGACTCAGTTGACTTGTAGGTTAACCTGAGACTATGTGTTTACTTGTTGTTGTGACTGAATTTAAATGTCGACATATTAAAAAACTTAAATTTCACTTTAAAGTATGAATAGAGCTCCACTTATCATATAGGTGCTCTTTGTAGTTCTACAGTTACAGACTGTAGTCCATCTGTTTCTCTGCATACTTTGTTAGCCCCCTTTCACCCTGTTCTGCAATGGACAGGACCCCCACAGGACCACCACAGAGCAGGTATTATTTGGGTGGTGGATCAATTCTCAGCACTGCAGTGACACTGAGTGCATGTTGTGCTGGTAGGAGTAAACACTGTGTCCACTCACTGTCCATTCTCAGACACACCTATTTTGTTGGACCACCTTATAGATGTTAAGTCAGAGACAGAAGCTCATCTGTTACTACACAGTTTGTACACAGTTCCTCTAGTCAGTGGTCACAGGACGCTGTTGGCTGGATATTATCGGTTTGTGGACTATTCTCAATCCAGCAGTGACACTGAGGTGTTTCAGCAGCACTGCTGTGTCTGATTCACTCGTACCAGTGCAACACACACTAACACTCCACTGTCCAGTGTCACTGCAGTGCTGAGAATGGTCACCACTCAAATAATACTTGCTCTGTTCCTTATGGCTGATCAGTGTATATACCCAAAATATCCGGTCATTCTCATTAGTGAATTCAGCTATTTTAAGACGCACCCATTGTCTTGATAGAAAAGCACTGCCAAAAGAATGGAACGCTGTAGAGCAGCCGCACATGGGCCTAACGTCACCATGCCCAATGCCAAGCACCAGCTAGAGGGGTACAAAGCCCCTCAGTATTGATCTGTGGAACAGTGGAGTTCCATCCATTACCTTTGAAATGAGTCTCAGTGAGATTGAGATCCTGAACTACTCATCTAACATCAATACATGACCGCACTAATGCTCTTGCGGCTGAATGCAGTCAGATCCTCACAGCAATGTTCCAACATCTAGTGTAAAGTCTTCCCAGGAAAGGAGTGACAAACTTCCTAATAATAACCTTAATTTCAGGGGAAAAAAAGCCTGTCTACAAACATTTGGACATACACTTCATTAGCAACACCTGCTCAGTCATAGTTATTTAGAGGAAAAAGAACCAGTTCATGCAATCAGGCATGTGGCAGCAGCACAGTGCATAAAACGCGCAGATACGCATCAAAGGCTTCAGTTAATTTTCACACCAAACGTCAGAGTGGGGAATAAAATGTGATCCACGTCAGTGTTTCTCAACCCTGGTCCTGTAGGCCCACTGCCCTGCACTTTTTAATGTTTTCCCTGTTCCCAACACACCTGATCCAGCAAATCAGCTCATTAACAGCCCATTATAGAGTTAAAATGGCTGTTAAAACAGGAAAAGCACTAAAATGTGCAGGGCAGTGGGCCTCTAAGACCAGGGTTGAGAAACCCCAATCAATGGTTCTCAAACTGTGAGCACGGCCACCCAGCAGGCCGCAAAAAAATCTAATTTGTGTCGCTACACAGGAAGTTTTAATTTTGTTTTTTTTTTAACCTGCTTTGGGCACACAGTCAAATTTGGGCACCCCTGTTCAAATTACATGTTTTGTTGATTTCCTAAGTTAAAACATATTAAAACATTCTTTATAGTAAACACACTTCTTCACATTTTGCTTAATTTGTCATATTGAAAAAAAAAGATAAAATGCAGCCTGTGTAAAAGTTAAGGCACATTTTGTGTTTTATGTTTAATTATATTCAGTATATTAAAGTCAGCAAATAACTAAAAATTAGGCACAAAAATTTGCTTGATGGTGCCAGATGAAACCGCTGATCTCCTGGGATTTTTCACGTACAACAGTCTTTGGCGGGTACATAAAATGGTGCAGAAGAGCAGAAGACCACATCAGTTTCCACGCCTGTCAGAACAGGAATCTGAGGCTCACAGAGGGCACAGGTTTGCCCAAACATCACCTCATCTGATTAATCTCGATTTCTATGCAATATGTGGATGGTGGGGTTGGAATTCGGCAAAAACATCTTGAATCCATGAACCCATTCTGCCAACAATTCAAGCTGATGGTGTAATGGGGTGGGCAATGTTGTATTGTCATTATCATTGTTTAAATGTCACAGCCAGCATTGTTGCTAACCATGTGAATCCCTTTATGGCCAGAATTTTCCATCCTCTATTGGCTGCTTCCACCACTATAATGCGCATTGTCACAAATCACAAGTCATGTCAAAGTGGTTGCATGAACGACAAGGAATTCAGTAAACTTCATTGATGCCCCCAGTCACCAAATCTCAATACAATATGGCACTTTGGCATGTAGTAAGGTAAGTAACTGACATACCTGCAGCAAATGTGTGATACAATCATGTCAGCACCAGAAAATAAAAGTTTTTCATAAAAACAAAATCTTTACACGTAGACTGTATTAGTTTAGTAGATACCACGCAAATGGAAGTAAATGAAATCAGACATTTATTAAGCAGCCCATTTAAAACACAATTTACAAATTAAATAACTATTTAAAAACATAATAAAGAAACTAATACAAATACACAACCTCATTAAAAAGCCTAAAATTCCCCTGATGAGAAGTTTGTTCAAGTTCTATTCATCACATTAAGTCACACTTAATCCTTGCCAGTTCAATTTTGATGGTCACATTTCAAATAAATAGCAGCAAGAACATCTGTGGTCTTTCCCCATCTTTCCTTCTGATTATGAATCTGAAACAAATGAAAATACACAGAGGTTACATGAAAGAGGTACATGTACCCACATGCATCAAGTCAGATGCTGTGAATGGATGTGTAACAGTCACCTTTCTTCCTCCAGGGTCCCCACGGCTTGTGGGAAGGTACGGCGGTTTGTTCCTGGCTGGCTGAGAACTGCTGCAAATGTGAAAGACATGAAACAAGTTTATACAGAGGCTTCTAACTGATTAGGAATCCAACTCAAGGGCTTATAGCGACTGCTTTGACGAAAACAAAGACCACTTTTGACAGCATCCACCTGCATGTCTGAACAGGTGAGAAAAAACCCCTCTATTCTTGATTAGAACAGAATCCTACAGGTTTGTTCTGGAGGGCAAAAAGAGACTTGATATATTGCAACAAAAATATTTGTTCTGGACTTTTAAGCTCTCAACGTAGCCAGAATCGTAATTCACAAGTGAACTAGGGCAAGAAAATATCAGGTATAAGAAATGTCTGTGATTAGTGTTAAGTCCCTTGTCCTAAACACCAAAAATATTTTAATAAATAAAAATATTTAATTCTATTCCATTAAGATACACATTTCAGTAACACTTTATTTAAATGCTTTAATGGGCTATAGGGACATCATACCATATGCAGCATTTAATAACATTTATAAACAAATTATTTATGAACAGCAAAATGCAATAAGATGTTTAACAAAGTAAATGGCACTGCATTAACAAAAGGGGTAATTATTTGCTTTATTTACAACACTAATGAAGCATCATTTCCATAACATATCAGTTGTATAGAAGGTTTTGATGCAATTTTCTTCCATACATATTTTGTTCTGGACAAGTTTTTACAGTATATATTCTGGCTTTTAGAATTAAACGTTTTCCAAATCTCCTTTTCTGTTCATTTATTTATTTATTTATTTTTACATAATTTAAAAATGCCATCTGTCCTTTACGTTGTGCTAAAATAAATAAATGGAGTAATAAAAATGGCCCAAAATTACTTGGAAAAACATCTTGTTTCACTGATGTCTATTTAAGGTAATGAATATTTTTTCCATGTCCTGTAAAAGGCAACACCTTAGCAACCACCTGGATACCACAGTAACGGCCTACCAACACCTTGAAAAAGCGGTGTATCTCCATTTTTTGTCTTTTTTTTGTTTTTCTGGAGGATAAAAGGCCAGCTGCCCTTTACATTGTGTTAAAATTTTATAATAAATGGAGCAAAAGAAATAGTACAAAAAATCGTGTTCCATTATCTTCCATTCAAAGTTTGCAAAGTATTTTTTCCTTGTGTGGTACATGCTTTTCCTGTGACAGTTTTGTATATAAGAGGTTTTTGTTGTGACCGCAACTATATGTGTGTATATACAGTACTGATATATGGTGTTTTTAATTAGGGTGCTGCATTGAAAGTTCCTATACTTGAAAAATGATGCTTAAGTATAGGGAAGACTCCTTATGCAAATGCAGTGTCAATTGCCTCTTCTCATATAATCTTGTCATTAGTGGCATAAATGGTTCATAAATACTCAAATATTACTTCACAAATATGTTATCAATGCTTTTACATGTTTTATAAAGCCTTTACATTAAATGTCACTGATATTTCTGTCACAAACGGAAAACTAAAAGGTGGCAGGGGCTCACTGCTGTCACTAGATTTCCCTTGAAGTTAACCACATCAGCATGTTTAGCTCAAAGGCCATGGACAAAAGACCAGTATTATGATGTATTGTGATATGCTTCACATATTTTTTCAATTCATTGGCGAATCAATAGTGTAATGGTTAAAGACTGACCTGCATAATTTTGACTGAATTAAATGATTTTTGTTAGGTTAAATAAATGCATGGATTACCCAAAACACCACATGAAACAGTAAAAAAAAGATCTGTTACAGGGCTGATTTGCATGTTGCAGCCTTCTGTAATGTCAATAAAACAAGGGTCAATATTGTAATAACAGAATATGACAGTGGACTTGCACCTGTTGTATTTGCTGAATCTCTCTCATGGCTAGCCGGATGGAGGGATACAGGCGGGGAACAGGCCTGCCTATGTGCTCAGTCTCCTCCTGTGCTTTATGCTCCAGCTCGGCGGCCTCCAGACGCCTGCGTCTGTCTGACACG